ATACCAGGTACTACCTCTCACTAACAGTGTATTAAAAAAAACGTGTGTAGAAATGAAAAAAGGTTTGATAATAAAAAATCAAGAATCTTATACAACTAATAAATGAAATCACAAAATACAGGATGACAAGTAAATAGAGGCTTTTATAAATATTTAGTTAGTCTTCAAGTGCTGGTTTGAAGAGATTTGATTGACTTCAGTTTTTATCGAGAATGGACTTTATTTAGAAAACTATTAAATAGCAGGATGTAATAGACATCTGTTTCCTCCTTGCCTGCGACTCTTCAGAAGTACGCACCCATGACCCCACCAGAGATCAATCTCACGATCCCCAGACTACGAGGCAAATTAGTATCCCATTCAGCCAGAAAATAGATTAATTCATTCCAATTATTTGAAGAATAAAAAAGAATGAATTTAACTCTATCGCAGTAACAAATCACGAAAATTTCATTTTCTAATAAAAGATGAATATTCATGTATTTGTTTTGTAGGGATTTTGTTTTATTGGATGCAGAATTTCATCATGAGCTGACATCAGTTAGATAACCATTGGAAAACTAGCTGGTAGTACTGGACAGCCAGCTGTTTCATGCTAGTTAGGGACTTTTCGCAGTACGCACCCCTACACTGCGGGGTTCGAACCTAGGACCTTCTGGTTACAAGGCTAGCGAGCTCATAGACCATTAGGCCACTGAGACCCTATCCAATGGCCAGCCCATGAATTCTAACTTCTACCAATTCATTACATAGCGGGACGACTTCGCAATTTCTTCTTCGAGGAGTTACTGCCTCACCTTCAACTCCTTATATTACTAGTACGACTTTCTTGTAAACAGAACTAAAGTAGTCTAAGACAAGTTACCAGCATATAAAAGATATTACCTAAAATAAGCCAGAAAATATTTTTGGATGATGATATAACATAACTGACGTTGTTTGTAGCAAAATTTTGACTGAAGTGTTATAGAGATAAAAGTGAACTACATAACTAACTAGCGCACTTTGAAAGAAGGTGAAACAAAATGAAGAGTAGAATGACAATACAAAAAGAAAGTTGAATTATTAAAGATACAAAATGATGAAATGTTTGTCAACTAAGAATTACGGTCTTGTTAGGATCATGAGATAAGTGGGAGACAATAGACAATCTGTAAGTAACAGGAAGTAAAATTTGAATTTGTAAAAACACCACGCCACTGTGTAGGGAAATTATCTTTAGATAGTTGAGGGTGATCGACAGAAAGCCTTAAATCTAGGTTTCATGCCTTTTGGCACTCATCAGTATGGCGCAATCACAGTCTTCAAGAAACTTATGTCCCTTCTGAGACTGAAACCTGGTCCACTCAGAGCTGCGTTCAAAAGTGTTACCATTGTGCCTTTAGGGCTAGCGATTGACCCCATGTAGGACTGTAACGGACACTAGATAGTGACTAATGTCATGCGTCTAGTCCTCCGTTTGACTGACAGAATCCAGTCTACACCAGCCGAAGGACTAGATGCACGACATTAGTTACTACCTGATGTCCAGTCAAAGCAGATTCTTGTTTTGATAACGACATTAATCAAGAAGTATGCTTTGATATTACTGTTATAACTGTACTGAACTCAATAAATCCGTTGCTACTTTGTTATATCTGCGCTTGCTAATTGCTATAATGGTAATGAACTCGATTGGTATGCTAATACGTCTATTTGTCCGTTGTACCTTCTGATTCACTAAGCCACACAAATATCAAAAGACAAAGGCTGGCCTGTGACGTTGTAAGATATTGTATTGTACATCTATTAGGAAACAAAACATGATATTTATACATTCTTTTTACCATAATAAAGTCGGCTCACAACCATGGGAATGGACTGATCTTATTATCTGGATATGGTTATTCTCAAGAGGTTGGCGATCCAACAAAGATCAAGATGAGACAAAAGACGATGAATTGATCACATACACAATAAACCACAATATACGTGAGAAATGATACATTCATATAGTAACTCCCTCACAAGATAAATCACACGATTCATGAGAAAGGATGATGGGTCCTATCAATTACCATGTTTTAAAGGAGATTTGTCCTCGAAGTTCCTTTAAAGTCGACAATAAGAACAAGTTCTGTGCTTCTGTTAAATTAAAATAAACGAAATTTAAGCAGGTGTCTAGTTTTCATACGAAAGTAACCAAACTGCAGATTTAAGTAGATAACGACTAAAAGTCCACAAGTACAGTATAACTCTCACTGAAAATATGTTACCCAGCTTTACATAAGACTATGATAACGTCAGAAAATATATAGGTATGTTACACATCAAGTGAAGAGAAGATGAACCCTGATAAACCTTTGATAGGCACTTATGAAAAATGTTAAGCCTGACAGTTACTTCACTCATCAATTGCTGGATATTGAAACTGCTGTCAATAGGAGGTGCAATGTGCCTTTCTACTGTTTATAGAAGTCATTTCAATTAAAAACCTCTGTCTCCAAAACCAAATTAGAGTCCCCTTTCATTTACTCGGGTGAAGAGATTTCTTCACCTCTACTGTCTGTCTTTAACCTGTTTCAACTTTGGTTATAAACCTAACGATTTATTTCATATCTGTTTTATTCAAATTGCCAATATTTTCGGGATTGTTTGAAATTTGGCCAACTTATCGACTCCCGTTTTAATATATGGTGAGTTTGGTTCACAGGCTATAATTCAGCCGTATTACTTTATATGCCCAAAAAAAGTTCCATGGCATTATCTTATTCCGTATCATCCTGGAGAGAATCAAACATGCCCTAGATGAAAAACTTCGACCGGAACAGGTTGGATTCAGGAGAAACAAGTCATGCATTGATCAGATCGCCACATTACGGATCATCATTGAACAGAGCTTGGAATGGCAGTCACCTCTCTATCTCAACTTCATCGACTTTGAAAAGGCCTTTGACAGCGTCGATCGATAGGTGATTTGGAAACTACTTCGCTACTACGGGGTGCCACCGACAATTATACATCTCATCCAACAGCTGTACGACAATGCTGCATGCCAAGTAATCCACAACGGGAAACTTACGGAACCCTTCGAAGTGAGGACAGGAGTAAGACAAGGCTGCCTACTATCACCAATGATTTTCTTGATTGCAGTAGATTGGATAATGTGACAAACAGCGGGCAATGAGGAAATAGGCATAAAATGGAATCACACGAAAAACTTGGAGGGTCTGGACTTCGCCGATGATATATGTCTGATTTCCCACAAACTGGAAGATATGCAAGCGAAAAGCAACAAGTTAGCAGAAGAAGCATCCAGAGAAGATAGGACTTCAGGTGAACATAGAGAAAACAGAGGTGATGAAGATTTTTCTGGACAACACCAACAGACAACAATCAGCATAAATGGGAGGAACCTGAAAGAAACAACCTCCTTTACCTACCTGGGAAGCACAGTTTCAACTACAGGCGGAACTGATAAGGATATCAAAGAAAGAATCAGAAAAGTAAGACAAGCTTTCACTACTCTCAAGTCTGTGTGGTGGAGGTCAACAGCACTCAGCATCAAAAATATGATCCAGACTTTCAACTCCAATGTGAAGTCAGTCAGTGCTACTATACGGATCAGAGACTTGCACTGCGCGTCATAAAGAGCATCTCAAACAAACTACAGACCTTCATTAACAGTTGTCTTCGCTCAATACTCAAGATCAGATGACCGGCCAGAAAAGATCAGAAACAGAGATCTCTGGGAGCGAACCAACCAGGAACCGGTTGTGAAACAAATAGGCAGGAAGAAATGGAGATGGATTGGCCATACTCTGAGGAAGCCATCAAGTGACATCAATAGACAAGCCATTGCTCGAGTGGAACCCGAAAAGGAAGCGGCGAGTTGGTCGTCAGTACAAGGGTGACTTGGAGGAGGTCATGTGACGAGGAGATGAAAACGTGTGGGCAGACTTGGAGCCAGGTGAAGACTCTAGCAGAGAACCGAACTCAATGCAGACGCACGGTTGAAGCCCTATGTTCCTCTAGGAACTAAAGGAAACAATAATAATATAATAATCATATCTTATTCTGTAAAATGGTCACTATTCATCCTTTATTTCACAGATATATTGAACTACTAAATTATTTAGTGTCTATACGCATCAGAAGATCAAATTTATATCAAAAGAATAATGGTTGGACTTAAAACGAGTCGTACTTCAGTTAGTAAAGCACCAATTTCGTAATCTGAGATCATTAGTTGCAGTTCTGTCCTCTTTTTGGTTTGAAAACATTTTACAGAGCTCTCAAAGTCAATCTACGGATCATTCTTAACTCTGCTTACATTAGTCACATATATACTGAGCTCCGTTTTGTAGCTATACATTTTATTTTTTTGTCACACATTACTCATTTCAAATCTCTGTCATTTGCATTTCATTTTCACTTAAATTTCCAAGTGCTGGTTTACAGCGGCTGAATGATTAACGGGCTGAGTCCTGAGTCCACTCTCTGGTGAGATCATCGGTGGGTAACGCTGAAGAGGCCTAAACTGGAAAGAAACAGCTGATGTCGGTTTATGGTCTAACTTGAATGACTTAAAGCCTTTCACAAAACCTTTTGGTGATTTTCATAGTTATGTTTTTATTTATAAGAATTGCATATTTTTAGTATAACAGAGTATAGTTCTATTTTATGTAGTACATAGTGAACCAGATGTGCCATTGTGGACCGACCACAAAAAAATTAATGGCAATTAAAGCCGATAACAGTTGCATTAATGGCTTCTTTTCATCGATCAAAATAACACCGTTACTACACCATTTATGGAAAACAAAGTATTGTTCATTTTTACCCCAACCGGTATAATTTTATTTACAATGTATATTGCATAACTATTATTGCTAAAAATATTTCTAAAATGAAACAATAATTAAACAGTTTTAAACATGAAAACTCTGTACAGATTTTTATATAATTACATAATCAACAGTAAAAGTGAGTTTTATTTTTTTATTTATTTTTATTAATTATTAATCCATTTCACTGACTTCTTGTTTAGGTGGACTAAAATCAGGAACAATATCTAAAAGACATTTACGAAACTGTTCTCTACGATATTCCCGTTCACGGTGGATCCTTTGTAATAATGGATATTCAGTCCATTTCTTAAAACACTGATACAATAAATGTCTGTATGTTAAAAATAAAAGAGTAGAAAGTTCAAAAAAACTTTTAAAAATATAATAAAATGTAATCACTTGCTATTACTTTTTAAAATACAGGCTTAACAGCGAATGGCTGTATCATAAACAAGGAATATCAAAATTAGCAATGAGTCGTTCTACATTGGATAAATTTAACTGATATAATAGACGATGACAGAGTATGAATAACTCGATTATATCATGGCTAGACCACACGGAACTACAGTGACTGAACCAGTCATTCTACAACAGTGTTTCAGACCACAGTCTAGTATGGTGTTGAATATCTAAGTCGCTAGAGTAGGTTGTACTTGAAATGTGGAGTAATCCGGTTATTAATACTGTGCCACTGAGTGATATGCCAAAGAAACTTATACAATATGAAATTATATTCTATCACATGCTGAAAATTCTATACTTGTACCAAAAATGCGGTGTGGAATCAAGCTATAATTAAAAAAAAACATTCTACACAACCAACGCACCTCTTGTAATGCATACAAGCAATTTCATCTTGTTGCCATTCCCGAATACAAAGATCAGTAATATACTGAGTCCACAATGAGAAATAATATCTTAGACGTTGTTGATTACACCATCTGTCAGCAGAAATTTCACTTTGTCTAGATATTTCACAAGCCTGAAAGTTAGAAAGACAACCATAATTCAAACAAGTCAAATATAATTTGAAAGCATGTTTACATACACATTACGAACAATAATAATTCTAGAGATATTAATAGAAAAAGTATTGAAAGATTAATTCATGTCTTCAGTAAATAAAAGCATAAATCACTAATCTAAAGAATATCGAAATAAAATGAAATTAGGTTTGATTATGGATTGATACCAGTTAGAGAAAAGTTGAAATCCAAGGTGTACTTAACAGCTATTTCGTCCTAGTTTGGGACTCTTCAGAAGTGGAATATAAACTAACATAAGATTGATAAAGAAAGCACCTCAATAACTAAGGAATCAATAAATCAATTCCATAAATTCTGATTTGTTCAACTCCATGCAACCATTAGATTTGAATATTTGTCACTTACGTATAGTAGTTGTATCACTACTCTACTACCAATTCTCGATGTTCCAGAAGCATCTTGAAAATTTTTTTACGGTCAATTAAAACGATTAAGGTATAGGCCTTAATGAACTGATTACTCACGAATTCTCACTACAGATACAAAAGGCTTGTGTGGCATTCGCCAACTTTCGTTACCTCTCACGTAGACGTAATATCCAGCTGTCAATCAAAGGAAGTGCGTACTGTATAGCAGTTAGCTTTGTTCTTCTTCATAGATCGTGAAACAAGGTCGTTGAAAGTGGAAAATATAAAAAGACTAGGTGTCTTTGACTACACACTTTTGCGTACTATCTGCAGTATTAAAATTATAATAGGGTGAACAACAATGAGGTTAGGTGTAGAGTGTAGGCTAAGGTGAGTAAGTCAGTCGATGAAGTTTTGAAGCTACACTGACTGAGATGTCTAAGACACGTGCTGCGCATGTCCAGTCATTGTCTTCATCGACAGGCAGTGTTAACTGAGAAAGAATTCTGTTGAGAAAGAGTTAGGGATGGTCAAATCAAAAGGTAACATAAGTCCATGCAGTCTTTGACAGTTGGATTTAGCCTTATAGGGAGGTGTAGTTTACCCGCTTGGGATCCTCAGGGAGCTAAGATGTGACTAGAGACTATTGGTGATGTCAGCTCAGAACTTTACTCAATGGCGCGACTGCATTCAATCTTTTTGACCTCAAATATCCACTAAACTGTCTTGTCCTTGCACATTACTGATCTTTCTCCTACACACTTTTTTCTTTTCTTTGTTTACCTCTGTCTGCTGCATAGCTAGTGGCGACTTGTACTGCTGCACTTCTGTGTAAAGTTCTATACTAAAACTCAGTCAGTCAGTCAGTCAAAACGTTTAAAGGAGCTTCGATTGTTCCAATTATGATTATTGTGAACTTATTGATTGATTCTGTCAACATAGATAACTATCTAAACCAAATATTAATCTTTGCATTAATATGGTCATGCTGTTTAATGGGCTTAAATCTGTCTACCATAATATTGCTATGCATATGTGTTAATATCATAACTTAGAGAGTAATTGTTGTTATTACTGTCGCCTTTAGTTCCTGCCCACATACTTTCATCTCATCTTCGCATGACCCTCTCCATGTCAACCTCGCACTGACGACCAACTCGCCATTTCCCATTCGGGTTCCACTGTAGTGATGGCATGGCGTGTGATGTCACTTGATGATTTGTTTTCTCAGAGTATAGCCAATACACCTCCATTTCTTCCTGCAAATTTGTTGCACAATTGGTTCCTGCTGGGTTGGTTCTCTCCCAGAGATCCCTGTTGCTGACCTTTTCTGGCCGGTCATCTGATCTTTAGCATCAACAGAAGACAGCTGTTGATGAAGGTCTGTAGTTTGTTCGAAGTGCCTTTCGTGATGCGTCGCCAAGTCTCTGATCCGTATAGTAGTAGCATTGTCTTCATATTGGAGTTGAAAATCCGGATCTTATTTTCATTTTCCTGCTAAGTGTTGTTGATCTCTACAAAGACTTGACATTAATGAAAGCTTACCTAGCTATCCCGACTCTCACTTTGAAATCCTCGTCAGTTACGTCTGTAGTTGAAACGATGCTTTCCAGGTAAATAGGTAGATAAAGGAGGTTGCTTCTTTCAGACTCCTCCTATTAATGATGATTGTTGTCTGTTGTTGTTTCTGTTGCTGTTGCCCAGGAATCTTCATTACCTCTTTTTCTATGTTCACCTGAAGTCCTATCTTCTCTGGATGCTTTTTTTGCCAACTTGTTGCTTTTCACTTGCATATCTTCCAGTTTGTGGGAAATCAAACATATATCATCAGCGAAATTCAGATTCTCCAAGTTTTTTGTGTGGGTCCATTTTATGCCTGTCTCCTCGTTGCCCACTGTCTGTTGCGCTATCCAGTCCACCGCAACCAAGAAAATCATTGGAGATAGTAGACAGCCTTGTCTTAATCCCGATTTCACTTCGAAAGATTTCCGAAGTTGCCTGTTTTGGATTACTTGGCATTCAGCATTATCATAAAACTGTTGGATGAGGTGTATAATTGTTGGTGGCACCCCGTAGTAGAGGTAATGAATCTCTACAAGCAAATTCTTTCAGAGTCATAACCAAGACCAAATTTCTCCACACGACATTCATAATAACTTTATCTTTGATGTGATCAAAGATGAATGACATTTTGTAGTATAAGAAAGGAATTCAAACATTTCTGAGGCATAATTTTTTAGTTTAGTTACTTTCGCAATATTCATAACAAGTCAAAGTAGTATTGCCTGGCAAGATTTATTTTGTATAACTCAGTCATTCTGATAATACATTGGTTGCTGAACGGCTAAGATTTTGAAGAAATTGTTTCAGGTGTGCTGTAAAAATTAATAACACCAAGAAATACTCATTTTTCAAATATTGTTATCATTGTTCCTTTGGGTTCCTAGTGAAACAGAGGGCTTCAGCAACATATCTCTATCTCACTCTGTTCTATGCATTCCCCTTTAGTCAGCTTCATAACTGAACATAAGCAATCACCTCCTCCTCACATGACCTACTCCATATTAACCTCGGACGCCCAACTCGTTGTTTCTCATCTGTGTTCTAGTTGAGAGTCTGCCTAGAGCATAATGCCACTCAAAGGTCTCCTCAACGTACATCAAAGTCATCCTCGTTTCCTCCTGCATATTTGTTAGGCAATAGGTTCTTAGTTGGTTTGTTACGACAGAAATTTCCCAGCGCAGTTTTTTCATAGTGCAGTTTAAATTCCGTACTTGCTTAGCGCGCTGGCTGCACACAAATAATAAGCTTCTAAAACGGATAACTTCCATACTCTGTTATTGAAAGATATGTCACATTTTTAAGTAAAAGATACTACCAAATTTTGAGTTATGAGTTTAATTTTTGAGAGGGAATATAAAATTCGTTTCTGAAACATTCGATTTCTTCTTAGACAACCAGCTTTATCATCTGTTGTGAAATCAGTCTGAACTCCAAAACTTTGATAATTTGAAACAAACTGATTAAAGCTACTGTTATATTTCGTTCTCTTTAGGGCTCTCCTTAACATTCAGAATAGAAGCCGAGACATCTATTACTGATGCATTCACTTTCAACCATTTCTTATGCTGGAAACGGGCATAAAACACAGTTGCTTGACTTTTACAGAAACAGAAAGTTATTCAATTCTGAAACACAAAATATCCTAATTAGAAGGCTTTATATCATTTCTTAACTAATTAAGATCAACTATCAACATTATATGTACGTCGGCGGTTCAGTGGTAGAATGCTTACCAACCACGTATAAGGTCAGGGGTTCTATCCTCACCCGACGTACTCCTAACCCTCACCTAGCCGGTAGTAGATCTAGCAAAGAGTGAAGGCTGAGTGTGGGGCTAGCAACCCCACCGCGTAAAAATAAATTCCCTCCTACAGAAACTTCAAAGCTGTAGCCTGAAGCCCTATGTTCCACTCGGGATGTAAAGGAATTAAAAATCAGCACTATTTGGTTAGAGGATTTCATCATGAGCTGACATCAGTTAGAGGACCATTGTAAAACTAGCTGGGAGTAGTGGACAGCTAGCTGTTTCGTCCTAATTTGGGACTCTTCATCAGTATGCACCCACCGGGTAGATCATCTTCAACATTATTTGTATAATACCCGATAAAACTATATTGTTCTTCGATACTACTATTCTTTTTGCCTCATGTCTCTGTTTACTGTCTCTATTTTGCATTTCTTTTTACTTTTCTCTCTTGCTTTGTGTGCTGAGTGAAGTGTGGCGACTCGAACTGCTGCACATCGGTGCAAAGTTCTATGCTGAAATCAGTCAGTAAGTCAGTCATAAAACCTTCTGCAGATTTATTTTTTACTTAGTTAATATCTGGCTATTACCATAATGACAACTTCAGCAAATTATTGTCATCCGGTAAAACTAACCTTTTTAAATCCATTTAATGTTCTTCTCATGAGACAGGCATTATAATGTTTTTGTGCAAACTTATTTTCTTTTTCACGTTCACATTTTACATATGATAGCCAAGCGTAAAATGTTTTCCTGTTAAAATGAATACATAAGAAAATATTGAATCACGACAGTTTATGCGAATAAATAAACTAACATCTTCGGATCTTACTCAAAAGTGTATCAGTTCAAGTTATTGAAATATGCAGTTGTATAAAACGTAGAAATCAGCAGAAACAGAGAAGTGTATGAAAAAAAAATATAAGAAACATAAGAATACACGAAAATATAAATTAGTGTGATTAATCTATTTGTCAGTTTATGGGATTATTTTTGCTTAACTGTAATCAGAGAAGAGCCATGTCTCCTTAGACAACTGTTGGAATGTGTTGTTTTCTTTGGACCACCTTAATCCATATTGGTTAAAGCTGACTGTCCACGAAGAAATTGGTTATGGTTTCGAGTTATGTTAGAATGTTTAGGTTGCCTGAATGGAGTTTTCGGATTGCTAAGATCCAATGGTTGGAGACTCTTAGTGAGATGGCTAAACATCGCTCAAAAACAGCACAGATCTGTCCAATCATTCTTATAAAAGAAATGTCCAGACATGAGTTACTAATTTTAGAAATGTCATTCTCAAGCTGTACAATCATATATATGTATATATGATTTCTCTTAGAAACAAAAGGAATATTTCCAAAGATAAATCATTCGGATTGTAAATTTTAGGTAACAGTTACGTAATATATATGGCATTAATCTGGTAGGAACCCCTTATTGACACTTTTGCTAGCTTGACTATCATTCAATTTTATTTGAAATCTACTCGAGCCTGCTAACTATATAACGTCACTCATTTTGCTCACCTGAATTTATTGCTGTGCTTGGGTGGTACAGTGGTAGAAACCTTGGCAACCACGCATAAGATTTGTAGTTCGATCCCCAGCTAACGCACTCCGAAGTCTAGCTAGGGCGGTAGTAAGATCGATATAGAGGAAAGGCTGGAGATGGGCTAGCGACTACATCTCGTAAAAGTAAACACTACTGATACTATGACTTTAAAGCTCTAGCTTGAAGCCTTATGTTCCATTAAGAAAGTAAAGGAATAAAAAGATAATTAAACTTTATTTCAGCCTTGACATGACTAACGCATTCTATATTACACAGTTGTTGTCTAAACTTTACAGTCCTAATGACACATTTTTGAAAATATGCTGCTGATACAAATCTACTGCATATATATGATTGTAAAGCCTGGGAATGACATCTGTAACAAGAATAATTCTTCGACTGGACTCTAGTTAGCGTCAGTAGTCAGTGACTAGTGTCCTACAATACAGTGCTACAGAAAGTCAGTCGCTAGCCCGAATAACTCAGTGGCGACGTCTCTGACTGTGACGCGGATTCGAATCTGTCCAGGGACATGAGTTCCTTCAACGCTGCAGGTACTCCTTGCTGACGAGTGTTAACTATAACAAAACTTATCTCCAAGGTTTCCTGCCGATTGCCTCCAACCATCTAATACCAAGAGTAACTCTTCAATAAGCGTCTTTTTTATGTCACTCAGTCATTCTTAATCACTGAAGTTCTGAATATCTTCATTACTTTCAATTAAATTTACATTATTTCTACGGTTTATTTTTCTTCACAGTATCGTAGCATTTCTTTTCTTCCTTTTTTCAAAGTTTCACTCTGGTTTTTCAGTCATTCATTGTATACCTTATAAAGTAAAAGGATCTAATATGAAATTACACTCTTACACAGTGTTGAAGTTATCTTCATACATAACGGTCTATGGACTGCTTAAAATTTCGGTTACCAATAACCTAGGTCATTATATTGTATAGAATTTCTCTTGTTTTAGCTTGTTTTAATCTTTTAAAATATGACAGCTAATGGAATTATTTACTCTCGCATGAATTTCAAAGTGTTTCAAACCTGCTTATCTGCAAGTTTCTATTAAACTTGAGAAAAAGAATAACCTTGGCTGGCGACGTATCCCAGTACATGAGTTTGCTTCTGAACTTTTTACACTTGTCTTTCAATCAAATGCCATGTATTTATCGAGGGAGACAAAGAAGGAATATCATAAGGAGTTGGACTTCAATTTCAGTCAGATCGCATTGTATCAGACGAAAAACTATCAACTAATATTTTTATTGAAAGATCCTCAATGAAGAGAGAATATCGTACAATAGACTCTACTGGAAATTTTGTACATTATGTAAACACTATAAAATAAAGCTATTGCATTATTATTATAAGTGTTACGCCTCCATCCTGATAAACCGTAAGTTACTTCTAGAAGCATACTTAGCCAACAAACAATGGCTTGGCATGTATAATACACCTGTCGGTGAATTTTGCTCTGTTATGCTGAAAAACTCGGACAGCCAACTAACGTAATCTGTTAAGAATGCTACACCTTAACCTTCATATTTTGTTTCATAATTTTGTAATTCCACAACACTCCACTACTATTACAAACCATTAACCCCATATTATTATTACTAGAAGTATATAACCAATATGAAAAATAGTATAGTGTTTACCTTGTAAGCATATTTTCTGAATGTTTATCAGCAATTTGAACTAATTCATGTTGTTGATGTAAATATTTAATCCATGGTTTAAAGCCATAATAACGTAGACATGAAAGTTTCCTGTGTGTAATAGCCTTTAAGTTCAATTCACGTTGATGTGCCAATCTTAATTCTGTTTGTTTTTTAAGCTAAGAAAGTAAAAAGTTTAAATGAAATGAGGGAATAATACAATTAATACATCGTAAAGAGTGGATACCACTTAACAGTTGATTGTAAATAGTAGTTACAGGTAAAATCACACTCGAATCTCACAAATGTATATGATAAACATTATTACAGTAAATTGTAAAGAATATTCGAACTGACAACCTTGGTAACTCCACAGAAAAAGTATGTAAATTGACAATGGTATATTAATATTGAAATACAATTAAATTTTAATTGGTGAATGGTGACTAGCAGTGGAATCCAGGATGCGCATTTCGTCCTATTCGGGACTCGTCATCTGGATTTACCTGCATACCACAGTGAGTGATGATGTTCCCACCGAGGCTCGAACCCAGTGTCCATAGTTTCAAACGCCAAGCCGTTATCCACTAGACCACTTCGGCCATGAGAGCCACTTAGTGTACAACGGGTCATATTATTAATTAAATTTTAGATTTTCCCGTCGATTGATTGAACCAAAATGCTCGTTCTCAAGTTGACATGTCGGCTTCTTGTGCAGATGCTTCGACGATGTTTGGGCATGTAGTCAGGAGTTAATTGGTGGATGGTGACCTATTTGGTACATACAGCTGACGAGTCCCAAATAGGAAGAAATGTACATCCTGGATTCCACTGTTAGTCACCATCCACCAATTAACTCCCGACTGCATGCCCAGACATCGTCGAAGCATCTGCACAAGAAGCTGAAATGTCGAGCTGAGACTGAGCACTTCGATCCAATCAGTCGACGGGAAAATCTAAAATTCAATTCAATAGAATTAAAATTTAGGTAGCTCTTTGGACTAATCACATCCATCTTATATAATGTGATGAGAAAATAATGAACTTTAACTCCTACCTACCGTGAGTTATTTGACCAATCACAGAAAAGATTAGTAATTAAATATATAAACGTCTTCATATGCTGGAGTTCAACGTCATACTTCAGAAACTCATTGAGAACTTTCAGCGCTACAAGCTGCTGATAACATTCTTGAAGAATAAGGCTAAACTCTGTGAAACAAAGACATTCATCAGACATGTAGCAGCAGAAGGCAAGACATGGAAGCAAAGGTATATTTTCAGGTGATCAAACAGTTATCTAGATCTATACAGTTTATATTCTTTAACCAATCACTGGGCGTATGATTTTGGTTTATACTAAACGACATGAAATAGAATGTTCAAATATACATAGTATTCTGTTGCTAATGCTGTATTGAACTGTAGGAATAGTATTCAGACGTATCACACCAGCACAATCAGTCTTTTGAAATTTACAATAAGTATCTTTGATAAATCAATATATACTTTTGTCTCATACGTTTGCATTACTTATAGTGAAACCATGTCGAAAATCTCATTATTCTCAACCTTTATTAGTTAGTCGTAATACGACTTAAACATAATAACACCCCTATATATATATATATATCTTCATCGAGTTATTTAAATCACTTATATGCATTATTGATATAACTATAAAACTTGGGCACTGTGGTAGAGCATAACTCCATTATGGATAAGATTTATCAAAATAAAATCTTATCCATAATGGAGTCACTTATATGCGGTATGTTAAATTGAAATAGCATTTGTCGACGACTCTAACAAAGCTTTTAAAGTTATTTATCGTATATCAGCCAACCTCTCACACGGTCTACGAGTACGAATTTTACATACAGCAGAGGTAATCGGAATTCATATGAACAAGCTAAATCTGTGTGTTCAAAAGAAATTTGTACAGCCCATTTCTTTGCAATGGCCAACTACGTAATATGTATTAAGTTTTTAAAAACGATTTTACCCCCTCCCCTTGTAATTATCTTTTGACTTTGTTAATTTTTACAATCCTAGCTAATTCCATTGACTTCTTTGTATTTTACGTAACTCTTCTGAGTCAAATTTCATGATTATGTAATAACTTGTTGCTAACGCTTAAGAATCAACTTATCCTGAATTCTGTAATTAATTTTCATCACTCCTTCAGAAACTTAGATTTCTTGTCACTGACATCTACTAGTTAATTGTTTTGATGACTTTTAACCTCTGAATTTCACCCAAGTGAAACCTGGAACTGATTAACTAAAATAACCACTTGACTGGAAAAAACAGTTTTGATGTAAAAAAAAACTACATATTAGTGTAGAGCCAGCCGATGATGAGGAACTAATTGAAAAGGAATGCATATATCTTCGATCAATCTGTTGTTTTTTCTAAACGATAAATGAAACAACAGATGAAAGGACAAAAGAAAAATCATCAATAAGTTATGAGTAAATATTTTCTAACTAATGGGTGGCTGCTACAGAATTCCTGTTTAACAGAAACATAACATTGATATGTTTCTGTTTAATCATTTGCTTTCTGAATGGAGCAGGGAGTCTCAAACTTGAGCTTCGAAGTTTGAGTAGTAATGGCATTTGTATTTTTTACAGCGTGGAATTACTGGTCTTACATGCCAAACCTTTTTACTCTTTACTGTGCTTACTATCGGCTAAGTGAGGGGTAGGAGTGCGTCAACCTAGGATCAAACTCTGAAATAAATCAGTACTCGGCGAGTATTCTACTAGTGAACTATATATGTATGAGCCTATAAAATATACACTCACAGAGAAGCACTCAAATTTCATTTCAGTATACGGAATAATAATGATAATCATGAGAAAAGTATATCTAAAAGCGGCTTTCTTACAATACATTCAAAAATATAAAATACTAATGATGATGAAAAGGCCTTTTTTAAGCAAATATACCAGTAATATTTACTTGAAATTACAAAAAATGGTTATCTTAAAAGATTACTTCTTGGAAAAGCAAACGATCTAAGTATATGTAATCTTGAAATAATGGAGATTTGTAGCTCAGGTGGATGATAATGAATTAGTTGCGTTCTCTGAACTAGTTGATTTAGTTGTGAAGCTCTCGTCGTCCTTCTAGACAACATCTTCAGCGCACGTTTTAGTATGAAATGAAATTATTTGAATTCTCCAAGAATTGAATTCAAATAAGTTCATTTCATGCCACAACCCGCTCTGAAGATATTTCCTAGAAGGACGATGAAAGCTCAACAACTAAATCAACTAGCACTGAGAACACAACTAATTCAGTACATGTAATCATTTCATTTTATCTCTGAAATATCCTTTCATCAGAAATTCCAAGCAGGCTTATAGTCAAGGGAGGTCATTTAAACCATGAATGTTGAATTAATACATGAAATGTTTACAGAATAGTAGTACCAGTGCTTCATGTAATATTTGAATTTAATTATATCTAATAAAAGCCTGGGAGTCGGTGGCATAGTGGTTAGGACGCTCGCCGACCACGCACATGGTCCGGGGTTCGATCCCCGGCCGACTCACTCCTTTACCTCGCTAAGCCAGAAGTAATGCTGGTGAAGAGGAAAGGTTAGGCATGAGGCTAGCAATCCCGTCCTGTAAAATAAACACTGCCACAGAAACTTCAAGCCCTATGTTCCACTGAAGGAAAAAAAATAAAATAAAAGCCTGCCATGAGCCTGCAAAAATATAATATACACTGGATGAACAAACCTCTTCTTCACGAATCCTCTTTTCTTTTTGTGCTGCTATCAGCATTTTTTTCTCTTCTTTAATTCTTTTAGCTTCCTCTTCTAATTGTTTAGCTAATTCCTCCTGCGATGTGTATAGAAAGGTTAAAACAAAAGTGATAGGTGATTTACTGACAAATAAACATTTAGAACTCCTCAAGATCAGGAATATTAAACGGGAAGTGGACATAATGCCATTTGGTTGATAGTGAAAAGCCGTGAAGTCCAGGATATGCATTTCATCATGTTAAGGACTCTTCTCTGGATGAACCTGCATCTCCACTGGGTAATGATAGAACTCGAATCTACCAACGGTCCTTCGAGACTCTAAAACCGTATCCATTAGGCCTAAAGAGACACCTATTGTGTAGTGAGTATCAGGTGTTATTTCTTTAAGTTACTATGTATGTATGTATGAAATGCTCACTCTCTGTTGACATGTCGGTTTCTAATACTGACGCTTTGACAATGTCCGATGGCTAAAACGTCTTCCAAAGCTTGATCACAGACTGATATCAATTAGAGAACCATTGAAAACAAGGAGGGAGTACTTGACATCTGTTTCGTCCTAGCTTGGGACTCTTCGGTAGTACGCACCCACCAGGGTTCGAACCCAGAGCCTTCCGGTTACATCTCAAGCTCTTACACCATTCAGCCATTGAGTATTTGTCCATACTACCGAGCTGGTTAATCCCACAGGTCACGATTTCTTGCTAGAACTCCAGGTAACTTCGTCCTGCAGGCAGTCTTTAGCGGGCATCAAATTAGTTTTCAAGAGTTGATTTGTAAGGATTTGATTTGTTTCCAGTCTGATCACACAAACTCCTAAAAATTCATATGATGTCATTTGGTCGTGATATCATTTAGTGCCCTAGAGGTCTAATAAATATAGCCTGACGTTTAAAATGATGAGTGCTAGGTTAGTGTCACAGTTGAAATACTACCACTCATTGGAAGGGAAGGTACATCCAGATGACGAGTCCTAAATATGGCTAAATGCACATCCAGGATTTCACTGCTAGTCACCATAAACATAAATAACAGAATGTTAGTCATCACACATCGTCGGAACATCTTCACTAGGAGATTACATGTGAACAGAGACAAAGCGTTTAGATTCACTTGGAATCAATCAATGGAAAATTCAAATTAACTTAGACTTAAAAAAACCATACATGATAGTTTTTGTTAACGAATATTGAAATATGAAATAGAATGGTGTCGAGCATGTCAAAAACTCAAATCTGTAAGTTTGAACTTGGTTTGGTAATATGCATGTTATGTTACTGTCTGTGGTTCAACATTTTGCATATACTGTTCTATTTTCTTTGGATGATAAAAACTGTCTGTCTCTCTGTTTTCAACGTAGAACTTTGCACATGTATGCGGCAGTTCAAGTCGCCACACTCCATGTAACACACAAAGCAAGAGAAGAAAGTAGAAGAAATGCATAATATAGACAGACAGTAAACAGAGGTGTGAGACAAAGGAATAGTAATAACGAAGAACAAAACAGTTTCATTGGAAATCATGAGTCACAAGGAGTGGATGCATCTGCGCCAGCCATTGAGAACGATTTTCAGCCATGTCACAAATTGTTTCCAACCATTGGTTTTTACCGTCCCGAGGACTCCAACCAGGAAGTCTACACCTCCCTACGTGGATGGATGGCTGAAACTAACTGTTGTGGATTTCATTGACTAGTGCCATGTTTTCGTTTGACCACCACTAGCTCTCTCTTTTCTAGCCTGACCCTATGTCAGCCAGCTAATATTGTCCTAACCATCTCAGTCGATGTAATTCCACAGTCTCGTCGACTGATTTCCCCACCTTATCTAGCACTCGACGCCTAACCTCAATACTGCTCACCTTATCATACCACTTCACATGGGAGATAGAACGCAGACACCTATGATCAAAGACAGCTAATCTTTTCGTGTCTCCCACTCTCAATGGCCAGGTCTCACAGCCATAAAAACAGTCATGACCAGTAGGGCACAGTAGGTTTTGTGTGAGGACATTAGCTGGTAGTCACACTACTTTGTGAATTGGCAGAAGTTGAAATTCATGGACTGGCCATTGTATCGGAATCCCAGTGACTGAATGGTCTACGAGCTCGCCTTGTAACCAGAAGGTCCTGGGTTCGAACTCCCTGTGGCGGATGTTCACACTGAGGAGTCACAAACTAGAACAAAACAGCTGTCCAGTACTCCCAGGTTTTCCAGTGGTTCTCTAACCGACGTCAGCTCATGATGAAATTCTCCATCCAATCAAAAAAATCCCTACAAAACCAATACTTGAAAATATTCATATCTATCTGTAGCAGTACCATTCTGATTTGTTTCGCTAATTCATGTCCTTTTCCAGAATGCTATAAGTTAAAATGATTTGTGCCTGTGAAACATTTCTTCTGAGATTTTTCAGTCATGTAAAACACGATTCCCTTCTACTTCAGTAAATAAGTCTTTATTATCTTAAAGTTGATCATCGCATATTGTTCAATACACCATACATAACTTTAATACCACTTACACTGAGTATTTATCAAATGGGTGAACACTTTTCATTTACATTTCATGATAGTGTGTTTTGAAAGAAAACATGCTTGCAGGCAGTACACTCGTGTTTTTTTTTTTGATGTACAAATGAATGAATTATTTACAGTCTGTTAGTGTATTTTTTTTCTATGGCCTGATTAATCTAGATGAGAAGCTGTCGCTTTCGTTTCAGGCATTTTTAGTGCATACTTCAATTTGAAGTGAGCTTATAGGATTCTTTATAAGTCTATTAGCCATCTCTCCCGGTAGCTTTGAACGCAAATAGTTCTTTCTAGGAGGTTTTCTCTCCCTCTAGTTCTTTTTCTTTAGTTATCGATACAGACTGACTTCAAATCGAAGTCTGCTCTGAAGATATTATCTAGAAAGATAATAAAATCTTCGCAACAAACCGTCCTGCTCTTAGAAAACAACTACACCAATATCATCCACCTGAGCCACAAATCTTTTCCACCATATTTACAGCCTACTTAAGTGACTGCCTGTTAAAACTTAAACAGTTACCACTGAGTTATGTGATTAGTTCCTTCAACCAGAGAAGTTTGTCCTTCCTCATGAATGATGTGGATTTTCCCCAATTCAAAGATCACTCAGTTCAAAGCAAATTTAATACAATAAGCGAAGGGAATCATGAAGGCTTCTTACTTTCTTTCTTTGTTCATTCGCTAGTTTTCTTTCCTCTTGTATAGCGTGTCTGCGTGCCCTTTCAGCAGCTCTTTCTTCCATTCCTGAAAGATAAAATAAAAAGGAATGGTGGCAAAGACTAATGTTAAAGTAAACTTAATAAGCTGTAAAAACCTCACCTAGTTTACTAGTCCGCTTGTTTACTAGCTGGTTTTAAGCCCGGGAGAAGAGGTAAGGTTTAATGTGGAGCTAGCTAGAAACTTTAAAGGACAAGAAAAACATGAAAAATAAACTTATTCTTCGCTGGAATCCGATAGACAGAAGAAGAAACATCGGTTGGTCAAAGCCTTCGGGGAGCCAGTTAAGCGATGTGTTTCCTTTCGATGTAAGCTAAAATGAGTGTGGAGACTTGTAACGATCTCATAATGTTAGGATCTGGAAAGGCCTAGGTTGCCAAAGAAATTAGGAGATATGTAAAAGAAGTGCTAGGAATCTACGACAGCAGATGGAGTGAATGTGAACTCTTCGAGTTGTCAAATGCACAGTCAATAGTCTACTCTGGTCATCCAGATGACAATCACGAGCACACTGAAGGGGTGGGTAATCGTGATGTCACCAGAAGCATCGAAGGCTCTCATGCAGTGGGAACCAACTTCATCCAGGATGATAATGACAGTTATAAAAAGTTATAAATGCTCTTTACATATTCAAACTAAAAATATCTACTACGTTAACTAAGAGGGATGATATTTCAAAATCTAATATTTATGCAATTTTAAAGCTGCTAATTAGAAAGTATGAGAGATGAATTTACTGACATTCGTGAATACTTCAAACAGAATCATCGTTCAAAAACATAGCGCTTATCTGTGATGATTCGATTTGTCCACTTAAATACTTAACTTTCAAAATTGTGGGAGAATAATTGATCTGTAAATTGATTTATGCATAATCTATTTACATTAGTGATACTTATTCGAATATTTTTACTAATTTCGCTATTAATACTCCTAATCACATTTGAACTTAATCCGTATGGTGTGTATGTGTGTGGAAGTATTGTTAATATTGTATTCTTTCACGACTGCGAGATTTTGGATTAGTGAAGTCAAGTCAACTGACTGTGGGAAACGTGTTTTGGTCTGTTTAAGTCTTACAGACAGAATTTTGATCCCATCTGGTTGAGAATATTTTTATTGATTCTCAGTTAATTTATAAGTTTGTTTGGTCATTTAATTTTGTTGTACGTGAGAAACTTTTGGAGTGTATAACCGCTGGATGGCATTATTGAGGTAGTTTTATATTTTAGATGTAAATTATTACTATTTGTTCAGTATTACCACAGATTATATGCTTCTGATAGTGTTGGGATATAATTTTGGGTAGTGCATCACTCACGGGAGTTTGATAAACTATGCAGAAGAATCCATCGATTGGTTCCCTGACTTTAGACTGAAAGACTTGGGTTTCAGCCATCACACTAGAAAAGATCTTCCACTCAATTCTAAGACGTATGGTTTAGCTTACACAATCTAATGGGATTAGAAGATTTAAAACATAAAAATGTGTCTAATGGGGAACATTTGTAGCTCAGACGGATGATTTTGAATTAGTTGTGTTGTCTAAGCTAGTTAATTTAATTGTGGAGCTTTCGTTGTCCTTCTAGACAACATCTTCAGAGCACGTTTTAGAATGAAATGAACTTATTCGAATTCTCCATGAATAATATAATTGAGTCTCCTAGCAACCATCTTCATGACTAGTAGTTGATTTACATCTCTATTGATCACTTTCATTTATTTGGAATTTGACCCTTCTTGTCACATGATTTACTTCTGATTAGCTGGTAAATGTGGTCTATATTAATATGTTTGGTTACAGGATTTCATAATGAGCTGATATCGGTTAGAGTTCTATTGGAAAACCTGAGAGTACTGGATAGCTGTTTTGTCCTAGTTTGGGACTCTTCATCAGTAGGTACCCACACTGCGGGGTTCGAACCCGGGACAATCTGGTTACAAGGCCAGCTCGTAGAACATTCCAGTCACAGCGAACCAATCCAATGGCCAGTTCATGAATTTCAACTTCTGCCACTTCACAACATAGTGCAACCACTGACCAATGTCATCCGTGGCGAGTATTTGTCCTCACGCTCGACCTGCTGTACCCTACTGGTCACGATAGCTGTTCAGTACTCCCAGGCTTTCCAATGGTTCTCTAACCGATGCCAGCTCATGATGAGATCCTGTAACCAACCAATCAAATCCCCACAAAAATACTTTAATTAATACGTTTGTTACTCACTAATTCACTTGATTACCAGGCTTCTAAAAATTCCCTGACAGTATCTTCAGTGTTTCATCTATTTAAACTTTCTGCATTATCCCTATCAAATTGGTGCTCACAATTATCTACGTGCATTGATATGAAAGAATATATATCATGTCTTTTCACAGCCAATTTGAATTCTTGGATTCGGATTCGAAGGGGATGCCCACTTTGACCGATGTAATGTCTATCGCAGTTCATACAATTTATTTTGTAAATGGCATTAATTTTATCTTCTTTTTATGTTGGATCTTTTGCTTTGCACAATATCGAATGAAGTGATTTTGTTGGCTGGTTGGCTTGTGTGCTATATCTATTTCAAACGGTCTTATTATTCTAGCTGCTATTTCAGAGATATTTTTTATGTATGGTTGAATGAATTTTCCTGTAGTCTTTGATGATGGTTTCTTGTTGGTGTTTTGACTCAAGTTTAAAGACTTTTTGATGAAATTGTGAGGATATCCATTCTTTTTTGAAGACAGTTGGTAGAATTTTTTTTCCTCCATTCTCTTTAACACCTGAGTAGTGCTGCAGCATGTGTTTAAACTCTTTTAAACAATGTCTGCACACAGTTTCTTTTGTAGGTAAATGTGAGTTATATATATATGAATTCAAGAGACATTTTATCAAATAACTATGCAGAATTATCTTTATCATGGATGAATGGAACAGGGAAAAATAACAAATAATGCATCAAAATGTTCAGACGAAAGTTTTTTAGTTCCTCTCTCGTTTATTGATGATTTGTTCTCAGAAAAAAATGAAGTAAAATTTCATAAAATCTTTTATTTCTGAAGTCAGGAAAAGAAGCTGAGGCAGATCGTGCATATAATAAAGGAAAAAACACTTCAAAAGAATGGATACTGAACAAAGAGTACTCTTTTCGATAAATTCATCATCAGACCCTACAATTATATAAACATTATAGTGAATGAATGAATTAGCATGCATATATATATATATATATATATAATTGTAGAGCCTGATGATGAATTTATCGAAAAGAGTACTTTTTGTTCAATATCCATTCTTTTGAAAATTTTAATGGGCATTTTTAATCAGTAAAAACATTTCAGATTCACAAACTTAGCTAAATAATCTAAGTGGAATTGTAGTGTGTTAGGTGTTTGTAGTCAATATCCAGTCAAATCTCCAAATGGAGGATCTCAGTACTTTCTAGGTTGCTATGATATGCTTTGCAAACGAATACCGAGGTCTTCCTACCCATTGGTTACAATCACCTAACATTAATTCACAGTGGCGATGTTGGTGGTGGCAAGTCACATAAAATGATGACCACATTTCAAACTTATGTCATAGAATTCAGTCAGGATGAATACAAAGGTCACGATAAATGACACCTAATTACAGCCTCGTGACAAATCAGTGTACAAATTCGTTTTATATCTGTAAGATATATTTCGTTATGAAAACGGTGAAGTTAGTTGCAATAATGTTTCAAATAAAGTATTATTATCAGGAATTATTTTGTAGCCATTCTATTTGTTTCAGGCTAGACTACGGATTGATATCAGTTAGAGAAAGATTGAAAACCAGAGAGTACTAGACGGCGGTTTCATCCCAGTTTTGGACTCATCAACAGTGCGCACCCACGGGGTTTCAAACCCAAGATAGAGTTCCCGCCAATGATATTGGTTGGTGGTCGAGCTAAATACATCACTAATTGGTAGAAGTTAGAATTCATGGACTGACCACTGAATCGGATCCTAGTGGCCGAATGGTATACGAGCTTGCCTGATAACCAGAAGGTCCTGGGTTCGAACTCTGGAGGTGTGTGCGTACTGTCAATGATTCCCGAACTAGGAGGATGAGACAGCTGTCCAGTACTCCCTTGATGGTTTCAATGGTTCTCTAACTGATATCAACCTGTGGTCTAGCGTGAAAACATTATTAGTTCAAATATATCCAAATCTGTTTGGTGCCATTTGGTGGACAACGTTTTAATCACAATTTATTGATTTATTTGGTTAAGCTATCCGCTTTAGAATTGCACTGTACTATTTTGTTCATACAACTTTCATACTTCTAAATAAATGCATTCAAAACATACTATCTGGTTGCCATGGTGATAAAATCAATTTAATTAATACATGTAAACATATCAGACATAATATTCGCATTATTTTATGTAAAAAAACTCATAAGAGAACACTATTATAGTATAATGTATCATAATGATTTTCTTCACCTAATAGTATACTTACTTTGAACAAATGAATTCTTTCTAATAGCTGGTATAACGGGAGGCAGAGGTTTTAACAATTGATATGTCACTGATTGGCTGTCCTTGTCTAGACTGTTGCTTTCACATAAGCTTCCCAAAAAAAAGTAGAGAGATGCAATTCAATTAGATAAATAAAATAAAACATGACTTATTCTGTTACTTGATATATGTATGCTAAAGAGGATGACAAATAATTTCATACTGTTTTCATTACAGCATGAGCAGTGTTGAACAGGTGTTTCTTATCATTTTGTGACTCTTTAGCAGAAAATATCTCAATAGTAAAGTTAGACCTAGCTTAATCATAGTAAAAGTTGACAATCCTAAGGTAATAAAGTAATATGAAGTCACCAAGTCTCTTTCTAACCTCCAGAGTAAAACAAGTATTCCTCGAAAACAAAAAAGAACAAAACTGACGTCAAGCAGAATAAACTAGTTCTGGCAATGAAGCATGATTATGTCGTGTGGTTGGAAGCAAGAGGGGAAGGTCCTGAGTTTAAATAAAAGATATCTTTAGCTGATGAGTGTCAATAAGCAGGAAATCTAGGTCTACATTTTCCTTTCGACTTTCTGCAACCGTCCGAAATCAATTCAAAGTACAAAATCATGATGGGTGTTCTATCTATATGTCCACATTTCATGCTTGGCGGATAGGGTTCGTTAACCACCAAAGACTGGATACTTGAAGTGATTACCGTCCAGTGACAGATTCATCTAAACAAATGATTGATCTTTCAATGCTGACAACTCAATTTTTATTGAGAATTCAAGCCAGATAGTTAAGTTTTTATATCACAATTAAGTATGGAAAGGTATTTTTTCATTAGTGTGATGTAAATGAGATACCTTTGAAATTATGGGTGCAGGGTTAGAGTCGCAGCGCTCAACAGTCCGCTCCGTCCTCCTTTATGGCTGTGAGACATGGCCATTGAGAGTGGAAGACATGAAAAGATTAGCTGTCTTTGATCATAGGTGCCTGCGTTCTATCTCCCTCTTGAAGTGGTATAATACGGTGAGCAATATTGAGGTTAGGCGTCGAGTGCAAGGTAAGGAGGGGAAATCAATCGACGAGACTGTGGAATTACATCGACTGAGATGGTTAGGACATGTGTTACGTATGCCTAGTCATCGCCTTCCTCGACAATGGGCAATGTTAGTTGATATAGGGCCAGACTGGAAAAGAGATAGCGGTGGTCAAACGAAAACATGGCACCAGTCAATGAAATCTACAACAGTTAGTTTAAGCCAGCCACGTAGTTAGGTGTAAGCTTCCTGGTTGGGGTCTCCGGGACAGTAAAAACCAATGGTTGGAAACAATTGGTGACATGGCTGAAAATCGTTCTCAATGGCTGGCGCAGATGCATCCACTCCTTGTGATTTATGATTTCCAATGAAACTGGTTTTTTCTCCGTTATTACTACTCCTTTGTCTCACACCTCTGTTTACTGTCTCTATTATGCATTTCTTCTACTTTCTTCTCTTGCTTTGTGTGCTACAAGGAGGGAGTGTGGCGACTTGAACTGCCGCACATATGTGGAAAGTTCTATGTCGAAAACCGATCGACCGACCGACCGCAGCGCAAACACCATCTCTCACTAGAGATGTAGATATATCTAGCCCATAAGTCCCAAACAGAACGAAATGGACATCCTGAATTCCACTGCTTGTCACCAGCGGTCCAATATCAGTAGGTAACGGGAAATATAAATTACCTTAAACAATAATAAACCAGATGCGATTATAAACCTTACCATCAGATTGTTGTCCTTGTACTATGTAGTAGCTTAAAAACATGTTCAACATACCTGGCACTAGAGCTACTTTGTAGACATTTATTGTCTTCATCATTAGTTGGCGGTGCTTTATTTGATGCTGGAGCAGATTTAATGCGTTCATTAGTTTTTGTGTAAGCCTAAAATAGGGAAAAGAGTAAGTTCACCAAGCAACTATGTTATCAAAGCTGTTATCTTAAGCAGTTATAAAGATTCGTCAATTAAAATGACTATCGATACATAGAAATTAAGTAAATAATTTGATTGGACATTAGTTAGTAACTAGCGTAAATGTGTCTAGTCCTTTGTTTACTGCAGACTGAATTCTATCAGTCAAGTTTGAAATGTTGCCACCATGCTAGGTGGCTGGCCATCATGATACACTCAGGATTGTTGCAGATGTGCCTTGTTGACGAGTGCCAACAAACACGAAACCTAGGTCCAAGGCTTCTTTCCAATTGCCTCCAACTACCTAATAAATAAAAAATTCACTTTCATTAAGCGCCAAAAGAACTTAGCTTAGTGTAAAAATGTTTCTTTAAACAGGGTGAATGATACTCGAAATTCTCTAAATATTTTATAAAACAATCATCATCTTACTTTTTCCAAGATATTTTTAGCCAATTCATGAGCTCGAGTTTCTAGCAACAATTCAGAATAACGATGAGCTGCTTTTAATGCTTCAATCTCTCGATTTTGAGCAGCTATAATATTACGTTGTTGTATAACTGTTTTATTTAAATGTGGTTTCATTACAACTGAATGAGCTGATGGTTTCCGCGTCATCTAATATGGAGAATAAGAAAAGGATTAATTACATCAGGTTTAACGTAAGAAAATCCTAAAATATTGTTTAACAGTAATGTACTCTACACAAAATCGTCAACTTTATCGGAGTACGAAAAAAACTGACTACAGACAAGGAAAATGAGGAACTTATTATAATGTATCAGATTGATCAATTCCGAATTCAAATGGTAGTTTTATATTTACTCAGGGTTGCAAACATTCGTAGAAACGCTGCTGACATAAATGTGGTGTATATTTGTAAGTCATATATATATATATATATTGGAGAGGGATCAGTATGGTAGTTGGGAATCTGAGGGTGGCATGGAGCATACCATATGATCAGGGAATGAAAGCTTATGGGCAGTCGTGGAGGCAGCTAAAAAGAAGTGTATCGAACAGGGTGAAGTGGTTTGCTGCTGAAGCCTTATGTTCCATTTGGAACCCAATGGAATAATAATACATACATACATACTGTTAATTGTCTCAAAGTGTTATACGGTCAATATCGAGATACCAAGTCTAGAAATGTCATCATATCCCAAGCCCGAGGAAATCAATGTACCACTTCTGTTTTATTTAAATTGCGTTATCCCACAACCACTTTGGTCTCCTACACCATAATCAACGAATCTTCTGATGTGAACAGGTGTTTTCTCTTGACTCAAAATATAAGAAGACTATCACGTTCATGGAAATAAGATATGCCTCAGAGTCCCATGTAAAATACTAGTTATCAGCTAACAACTTCTTTTAACAGTTAAGAAGGAATCTCAAGAGAATGACATTACTACATAGTTAGTTTTAATCTTAGTCTTTGTTTACATAACTACCCACTTTATTAAGGCTCCATTTCAGCAAGATATTGTATTCAAATCGATAATCACGTACTGCTTATCTTGACAGATAAAGTATCATAGTTACTGAAGCTTCAGCCAACGCTCAGTACATAGCCTTAAAGTACAACGCCCTCAAAATCTAAGATGGAATGAGTGCGAACAATATAAACCTGAAGAGAGCAACTGAGGAATATTACTGGTACCAAAACACTTGTTCAGCGAAATGTAATCAGTCAAATAAATAGTGGAAACGGTATAACTACCTTCAACGGCAGCTTGTATCTTAAGCTCATAATGTAAATCAACCAAGATGTTTGATATTGCAAACGCCAAAACATTTGCAACTTACCTTCTTATCATTTTCATCGTGATGAATTTCGGTAGTGTGATATTTTATACCATCAACAGAACGAGATGAATTGATTGAATTCACAGACTTCTTCTTGATTTCTACTGCCTAAAAATTTACAGAAGTTATAAAACAGTATAAAAGGTGATTACGGAAAAAAAAGAGAGTTTATAATTAAGTAATACTAACGGAAAGAATTAACTTTGCAAGATCACATCGTTTCTTTATTTATCTTAACAACATGTATATGACAATTCATTGGTAAAAAAGTATTTGGTGCAGCTGAGGAAGAGGGCTGTTGAGTGGTTGCACCACAGGATGATACTGCACTCTGGTCTCATCTCCCAAGAAGCAGGATCGGGTGTGTTCGGTTCTCCTGAAAAGCAATGCCCAGTCAATGTGTTTATCATTATGCAAATAATTATTCATCCAAGAAATATCTAAACATAAAATTGAATGCCGTGTATATTAAGATCTTTTTAGAAACGTAGTTTTCATCAATATATGTATAACTTTACAATAAGACCTCCAAACTGAGTAAGGTAGGTTTGAGTCTCACTGGGTGTATATATTTTTTATTTTTTTATTACAGCTTGATTCCACACCGTATTTTTTGGTACATATATGGAATTTTCAGCATGTGATACCGGTAGCCCAAATTTTGTAGGCCAACCATAGATATCAGGTGTGCGTCCGTAGGGGATCGAACCCCGGGCTATGTCATGGTCGGCGAGAATGCTAACCACTGTGCCACCGAGTGATAAGTGCCAAAAATCAAGGAGTTTCAATGAAGAGTTTCTTTCCAAATGACTGCTAATGTGGTGCATACTACTGACAAGAATTTGTAGATCATATCTTATGTGTGATGTCATCTGCAAGAGTCTTGAATAACGGAGAGATGGATTAAGTTAAGAAGGAGGAGAACTGAAAGGTTCTTGTGAAACAATATAGAAAGGGATGAAATGATAACAAAGGGAGATGAATATGAATAACTTGTGCAAACGAAAATTTCAGTGTAAGGTTCTTATATTTTGCCATGAGTGTATGCTACTGATTAACTGGTTGATATCAGCGGTATTCAGTTATTCATCTCCAAAAGTATAGACTCCTCATTATATTTTGTTTTAATTTATTTTATTGCTGTTTCCGTCTTTTTTATCTATGCTGTTACTGAAATGGAAAGCTTTAACAGCCTCATTGATAAGTCAGCTGTGATTTCAATGACGGGAACTTCCAAAAGTTATTATGAAATATTCAAAGTCACCCTTCAGAATTCCCTCATATATAATGAGCATAATTTATCTTAATTTAACTAAGTAATAAATAATTATCTACCTCTTTGAACTTGAAGAAAATTAAAAATGAAAACAAGATTAAGACCAAAATAAATATAGGATTTCATCATGAGCTAACATCAGTTGGAGAACCATTGGAAAACCAGAGCCACAGTACTGGACACCTGCCACATCCTAGTTTTGGACTCTTCAACAGTACGCACTCACCAACAGAGTTCGAACCCAGGATCTTCTGGTTACAAGTCAAGCTCGTTAACCGTTAAGCCTCTGGGACCGGACCCAATGGCCCATGAATTCCAACTTCTGCCAATTCACGATATAGCGCGACCACCAGCGAGTGTCATCGGCGAGTATTTCTCCTCACACCCTACCTTCTGTGAGTCCTGGTTTCGAACCCTGGTTGGTGCGTACTGAGGAAGAGTATCAAACTTGGGCGAAACAGTACTCCCAGGTTTTCCAACGGTTCTCTAACCTTTGTCAGCTCATGATGAAATCTGGCAATCAATCAAATCCCAGCAAACCGACACTTGAATAAAAATAATTACCTTTGACTTTTGTGATTGTCTTTCAGTTAGACAATTTCGATTAGTAGACAGATGTTTCTCTTGGTTATCAACATTATTAGTATCGGATGTATTTGTTGTTTCTGTTTCACTATTCTTGATAAAATTCTGTAAATTGTTTAGGAATTCCATTTCTTTTTCATGTCTTAATGATTCTCTATTCATCTCATCAGCATTAGACTAAAAATTAATAAAGAAGAATATTATATAGTGGTTATGATAAGAATATATATTTTTAAATGTATAGATCATTATAAAAATTATATCACTTAAAGTAGTTTCGAAATAGGATTCCGAAATTTCATTTGCTTTAAAAAGATTTTAAACAGACATATTAAATGAGTAACATACCGCTTAATGACTACCTCTTGGATGATATTTGTGGGTAAATATAAAATAGTGTTTGGTAAAAATAAGAATTATATACCGCTGAGATGTGAATGTAGGTGCTTCACTTTGAAACATATCGTGCACTTCAATCTATGATAATATTTTTTAGTATATCAACATCAAGCATGTCAACCCTATTAAGTTTAGCCATTGGGATTTGTTCTATAGAAATATTTTCAAGTATTGGTTTGTAGGGATTTGGTTGATTGGTTCAGGGATTTCATCATGAGCTGACATTGGTTAGAGAACCACTGGAAAACCTGAGAGTACTGGACAGCTGTTTCATCCGTCCTAGTTTGGGACTCTTCATCAGTACGCGCCCACCGGGGTTCGAACCCGGTGAACTGGCAGAAGTAAGAATTCCTGGGCCATTGGATCGGGTCCCAGTCGCTTAATGGTCTACGAGGTCGCCTTGTGACCAGAAGGTCCTGGGTTCGAACTCCGGTGAGTGCGTACTGTTGAAGAGTCCCAAACTAGGACGGAGGAAACAGCTGTCCAGTACTCTCAGGTTTTCCAGTGGTTCTCTAACCAATGTTAGCTCATGATGAAATCTTGTAACCAGAAATATTTTCATTACCTAGTTTTACTATTATTATTATTATTCATTCCTTGTGTTCCAAGGGGAACATACGATTTCAGCAGAACATCTCATCCCTATTGCATTTGCTTTTAATGCTGTCATTTACAGTTAGCTCCATTTCACGCTTGGACGCCCAATCCATCGCTTCCCTTTCATGTCCCGCTTCATCTCCTGGCGTATGGTCTCGCTTGAATGCCTTTTCAGTGTGTGTCGAACCGATCTTCATTTCTTTCTGCATATTTCATAATTTTTACGTAATTTTGTTTCATAATATTTCAAATATGGTCATATTATTGTGTAAACATAAATCCCATCAGATAAGGGTACACAATAACAACTATTCATGACTGCATTACAACATTTACACATTTATAAAGCCTAGTTTTGTAGCTCCAGTCTATCAAGTTGCATTGTTATAGAACTTGCAGGATACTTGAAACAAGTTCAAAATTGTTACGATTGCATAAATCCAGAAACAGTATGCAGAGAAGTCCCTGTCTGTGGACACTAATCCTCCAAAGAAAGCGGAAATTCTGAATGCGATCAAGCTACTGAAGTCCGAAAAGGCAATAGGACCGGACGGAATTCTTCCCAAAGCACTGAGAGCGAACCCAGAGACTGCGGCAGATTCGCTCATGCTTTTATTACAAAAAGTTTGGAAGGAAGGGAAGGTGCCCACTGACTGGAAGAAAGGCTACCTCGTCAAACTGCCAAAGAAGAGTGACTCATGCCTGCCTGGGCAAGAACTGGTGCAGAATAATGCTCTTGTCCACGCCAAGCAAAATACTAAGTCACATCATTCTGCAGAGAATAAAAGATGAACTGGATGCAGAACTCCACCAGCCAGAAGAAGCCGAATTCAGGAAAGGCAAATGATGTGCTTATCAAATTGCAACTCTACGCATCATCATCGAACAAAGCATAAGAATGGCAGTCAAATCTCTGCCTCAACTTCATCGACTTCGAAAAGGCCTTCACCAGACAGCGTTGGCCAAGGCGTAATTCGGAAACTTCTTCAACACTATGGCGTGCAGCGCCCAAATCTTTATCAACATCATTCAACAGCTATATGATAATGCCATGTGTCAGGTGGTCCACAACGGAAAACTCAGCGGGGCGTTCGGTTTGAATACAAGAACGAGATAAACTGGTTGCCCATTATCACCGATGATATTCCTAACTATGGTGGACTAGATTATGTATCAGACTGTGCGTTGGGAGTAAGAAGATAGGAATACGCTGGACGACTGATAAGAAGACTCTAGAAGATCTGGATTTCGCGCGTGGATGATCTATGTATAATGTCACACAAATTCGAAGACTTGCAAGCGAAAACCAACAAACTAGCTGAAGAGGCAGCGAAAACAGGACTGCAGGTGAACATAGAGAAGACGAAGGTGATGAAAATAACCAATCAAAAGTCACAGCCACAACAACCAGCACCAATCACTATCAACGGGAGAGATTTGACGGAGGTTACTTCCTCTATTTATCTAGGAAGTGCACGGATGAAGATGTCAAAGTCAGCCAGCCAGAATCTGAAAGGCAAGATAAGCCTTCATCAACCTGAATTAGTTTGGAAATCTTCTGTACTCCGTAGCATTCGCTGGCTGGCCCCGTACTGAAGATTAAATGGCCAGCTGGCAGGCCAGAAAGAATTAACAACAAGAAACTCTGGTTGACAACAAACAAACCAAGAGCCAACTGGTCAACATATATGTAGGAGAAAATGGAGGTGGATTGGACATACAATAAGGAGGCCGTGGAATGCCATCGCGCGCAATGCAGGCCATTACTCGAGTGGAAGTTGTATGGAAAGCGAAGATGATATGGAGGAGATCGTGTGGCAAGGAGGAGATGAGACATTATGGACGATCGTGGACCCAGCTGAAGAGGATAGCACCAAATAGAACAAGGTGGAGATGTGTTGTTGAAGCCATATATTCCACTCGAAACTCAAGGGAATAATGATAAGAAATAATAATTCTGACACTGTTTTCGGTGGTTCAGCGGTGGAATGTTGGTCAGTGATGCAAACGGTCTCGGTCCGATTCTCGACCGACTCACCCCTTAACTTTACCTAACCGATAGCAAGCCGGGAAATAAGGAAGGATGGGTGTGAGGTAAGCAACTCCACTCTGTAGAAAAAACAATACCACTGCTACTGAAAATTCAATAGCTTCAATTCTGAAGCCATATGTTTCACTTGGAATGAAAGGCACGAAATAAAGAAATCCGTGCTTGGGTTTACTTTGCTCTAGAAATTTCCTTCTAAATAAATTAGTGTACTTACTTTCCATATCTTAACGTTGCACTTCCATTGTAACAAACATTGCTTTAATCGGAACTTTTCATAATGTTGTTTAGCAATATGTTCTTTTCTATAAGTGAAAAAATAATAGTAAAGTAGCCAACTAAATAAGTATTGATATATTTACAACAGAGAAGTCAAAGTGTGAAAATGTGCTCAAGTTAGTTTGTGAACCTTGAATAAATGAATGAACGAATAAGCCATTCTATTTAAGTTTTAATTCAGACCCTCAGGACATAGATTTAACCAATCACTTACTACTTAATTTGAGGTATTATGATGGCATAGCAGCAAGTTTCATTTTCATCACTTAAAAACAATGAAAGCAAACTGAGGAACTGCTAGTAACTATGCAAATTTATATCGGGATCTGATCTCTAGAATGTTAAGTAGATTTCTTCAAAAACTGATAACGCCTCGATAACCATTGAAAAAGAAAAAGAAAACACTAGACAACAATCTCATCGTGTTTAGAAACTCTTCATCAGAAGTGTAAAGTAATGTAAACGTAGTTTTACTTTCTCTTTGGTTGATTGACTCACGACCGATTACATCTAGCTGTATGTCCAGTTCTTTCCTAACCACCTCAAAATAACTTGAATCACAGTTATGTAGAGCACGTTGACCGCTTCACTTACCTGGAAAGTACCATCAGCCCCAACAGGTTGATCTGTGACGAAATCTCATTACGAATACAGAGGACTAGTTTCGCAAAGGCCAGTTTACACCGTAGACGTGATATCTGACTATCGACCAAAGGGCGTGTGTACTGCTCATCAGTCCGCTCCATCCTCCTTTATGGCTCGATGTGAGACCTGGCCATTGAGAGTGGAAGACATGGAAAGATTAGCTGCCTTCGATCATAGGTGCTTGAGTTCTATCTCCCATGTGAAGTGGTATAATAAGTTGAGCAATATTGAGGTTAGGCGTCGAGTGGTAGGTAAGGAGGGGAAATCAATCGACGAAGCTGTGAAGCTACATCGACTGAGATGGTTAGGACGTGTGTTACGTATGCCTAGTCATCGCCTTCCTCGATGGGCAATGTTAGCTGGCTGACATAGGGTCAGGCTGGAAAAGAGCTAGTGGTAGTCAAACGAAAACATGGCACCAGTCAATGAAATCCACAACAGTTAGTCTAAGCCACGTAGGAAGGTGTAGACTTCCTGGTTGGGGTCCTCGGGACAGTAAAAACCAATGGTTGGAAACAATCGGTGATATGGCTCAAAATCGTTCTCAATGGCTGGTGCAGATGCATCCACTCCTTGTGACTTGTGATTTCCAATTAAACTGTTTTGTTCTTCATTATTACTATTCCTTTGTCTCACACCTCTGTTTACTGTCTATATTATGCATTTCTTCTACTTTCTTCTCTTGCTTTGTGTGCTACAAGATGGGAGTGTGGTGACTTGAACTGACGCACATATGTGCAAAGTTCTATGTTGAAAACAAACAGAATCACAGTTATAATACTTATAATTGACCTTACAAGCATTAGAATGACTTCAGATTAACAGTGAATAAAGCAAGACGAGCTGTTATCCTTATACAATCAGGATCCGCTATATCACAGATTAAATAGTCTGTGAAACGCGTTTTATGCGGAAATTGAATGTCAGATCCGTATGTAACACCGATAAGTCATATGACTAACTTTCAAAAATATTGAAAGTGTTAAGCCTTGATGATCTATTAAATTCTTATCGTCTGAATGACTGAAGACTACTGGCTTAAAGTCCATAGGTAACTCAAATATAAAATAAATCATAATCACATCAAAACGCAACCGCAAAAACTAAATGTAGCTACAATTTAATAATATAGTTGTCCTATTTCGACAATTCATAGTACAGAGGCACCACTCAGTACAGGAATTAGTGCGTGGAGATCAATCAACACATGAAATCCTATTCACAAGTAACTGAATAATCCTAAGGTTATTTGAGTATCATTAAAGAAGACTTGGACATACATGGAGTACAACAGTACCTATACAAAATCATGTTGAGATAATAATATTATCACTTTGAGCATATACACTCAAACTTACTTTACTAATTCTAAGCTATCCATTTTTGCTTTATCAATATCTCTGTTTAAATGAATATTACGTAATTTATTCTTCCAATAAATGAAATATTTCTTTTTAAAACGAAATTCACTCTTCGTTTTCAAGGTAGAATATTGTATTTTTATATTGTGAATAATGCTGTGCCATGCATTAAATGTACGTCTCATCTGCTGAACAGAGGTTTTTGTTTAAACACATTAGGATGAGTATCATTTAATATTTTGTTTATTTGAATAAGAATTAAGTTATTATTAAGGTTTTAACAATAAAATGAAAAATGAATTCTATCCTGGAGGTCTATTTAAACTACTGAGGTACCTAAAATTTCATCTAAAATAATGGTATTCACTTTTTTAGATTTCTTGTTCTTTTAACTTTCTAATTATATATGTTTGGGTTGCAAAATGAACTCGCGCAAATTGGCTTCTAACCTACCACTGTGTAACATTTCAAGAAGAAAATGAAAGGAAAATGTTTAAGTGGATTGAGTCTTGTTTTAGATGGAACAACGTTACATCATAAGACGAATATTTTGCTTGATTATTCTACACGAGGAGTAAATATATATTACTCTGAGAATTCTGCATTTTGTGTAAATAGAACTTTATATCTGAGTAGAACTTTACCACTCAAGCACCGACGCTTCGAGGAACATTACACTACTAAAATTATAATTATTCCCTTATATTCCGAGTGGAACGTAGAGCTTTAACAGCACACCTCCCATTCACAGTGTTCTCTGCAGTCCTCCTTAGCAAGCTCGACGACTGTCCATAAGCTACCAAATCCTAAAATAGTCTCTTCCATGTCACCCTCACATCCACACCCATCTCGTCGTTTCCCATTCTGGTTGCACTCACGGGCCTAACGTGTGATATCACTCGACGGTCTCCTCAACGTCTGTCCAACCCATCTCCATTTTATTTGACATATTTGTTGTCATACAGGTTTTTGGTTGGATGGTTGTCAGAGTCCCTTATTGATTATCCTTTCCGGCTGGTCATCTAATCTTCAGTATAGAGCGAATGCGACTATTGATAAAAGTCTGCAGTAGCCTATTGTAATTGCTCTTGGTGAATCACGCACCATATCCGTGAACCATGTAGAGGGACTGACTGACTTGATATTAATGTTGAAAACCCGAATCTTGTTCCTTAGGATAAGTACCGCTTGTTTTCGTATTAAGATAATTAATTTGACCCATAGTAAACCTTTTGTAGATTTGAGTCCCCCAAATTAAGGCTACCTCAGGCAGATTAAATGCTGACATAGGCAAATCTATTCCGTTCACTTGCTTATCTTATGGTTTAAGTAAAAACATTATGGTAATAAAATTTTAAAAAATGTGAAAAACTTTCATTGAGGCAGTAATCATGTGGCATGTGCTACTGATAACATCTATCAGTAGTATATAAAAATATCAACTAGCAGGGAGATGGATTTGACGTCAAAGAGAGCAAATGACTCAGAGCTGCGGCTAAAAATTGGAGACACAAAAAGAAGACAAAGAAACACAATATGGAGGACAGAAGTAGTACAACACGGAAGACCTGTGTGAATGACAATTTTCAGATAAGGTGTAGATAACTTCCCTACATACAGATATCAAATTCTAAATATACATTCCGTTAACAAGTCTCTTGTCTTCTGCCATTACAGTTATAGGAAATACGAAATAGATAGTGTAAAAGTAAAACTCCCCCTTAAGTTAAATACCGGAATTCAGTTAGTTCAACACTGCCTAAAACAAAGTTTCATCAAAATTTCAGTCTCTCTGTATTTAAAGTACTCAATGAAAGGATTTAGATATAAACATTGCAAAAAACAATTAAGAGAAACACATAAATCTTATCTGGTGTCTTACCAAATATTTTTCATTCACATTTTGGTTGGAATTGCAGCTAACTATCGTTGTGCGTAAATCATCACCATCATCATCTTCATTCAATGATCTTTCAGAAGAGAAAGAAATACATGAAAAATCCAATTTTGGAACAGAATGTTTTTCTTGTTGACTACTTTTGAATTCATTATGTAAGCTCCTTTAGGTAAAAAGGTGAAAATATTAAATGATGATAAAATAATTACAAGGTGATGAAGAGTCCACGCAGGACTTCACGCAAAAACATGACTATCAATTCAAATTGTTACACTTTAAATAAGGACACAAAAAGAAGGGAATAAAAAAATGCTAGGATACTACAATTGACAAACATGGTTGTGACAGAGAGTATAACTAAGTGAACATTAGTGAAGCCTTTCAGGATCTGTAGGAAGATAAAAAGGAATACAAGTGTACGATTGGAAACAATTTATTTATTTTTATTCATTTTATTTCATTATAGCTTGATTCCATACAGTATTTTGCTACAAGTATGGAATTTTCAGCATGTGATATACGTAGCCCAAATTTAGCAGGTCAACCATGTGTGCGTCGGCCGAGGATCGAACCCCAGACCATGTCCATGGTCGGCAAGCGTCCTAACCTCTGTGCATATCATGAAGAGTCTACAGCCGTTTATTCCTAGTAACCAGTGGACACGAACTACATAGTCTACCTTAAGCCTACATGATTTAGGCTGTGACTGTTCGGACTGATATCCTATAATTATCTGGTCAAAACTTACTGTTTTCAGACATAGTTCTACGTCAGCCAACATTATCCTTAAAGAAAGACAGCAGCACAAATTGACTAGTATATCCCCTATCTATCTTAATGGATGAAGCTTCAAAGCCTACTCAATCGAATTATTCTCCTTGTCTAACCGATATATCATCCACGATATCCCTTCACTTAACACGAATAAGTGAATGAAGACATTCTTAATCAAATGGCCCAATCCTTTTATACATCCTATACTTACCAACCATCTCTCACATATGTGAAGTAGGATTCACATATCCGTTTATAAGCAGCCGGATATTTCGCCTGCAACAAAGAATACGCAAAATGACAAATGCTAAACGTCAAGAATTGGTTCATTAGGATTGATGTGACTTCCCAAATAAGTGAAGTGGTCAGCAGATTCAACCTAGAGTCAATCCATATCCGTCCTGTAGTAGCATCTTACATTTGACACGGTCAAAAATGATGAAAAGAATGTGCTAGGTTTCAATAATTTGTTATAGAACATAGAAGAGCAATTTCGGGGAATATAACTTGTGTTTTTAGTATTCTGTTAATAATTTCTTTATTAAATGGGGAACTAGGTGAATAATCATGTTCTTTGCTGACTAGATCATTCAAGATAACATTGGTTGACAAACTGATCTTAGTATATAAAGATAACGAACAAAATTAAGCAAATAATAAACTGAAAAAGTAATTTGCTGACTGTGTTTAAATTCTGATAGACCCCAGATTTTATTCGATTTCAGTCATTACAGGTTCAAGTAATATTCCCCGCAGTCATTTGATATGCAGATGAAACCACTATTTTTATAATAGTTATAATAATAGTAATAATTAGTCAACACTTCAAGTTTAGAATTATTTTAATTTTAAAAGTAACGGTGAAATACGCTACCTGAACTTAAGTCATTAGTCAAAAAAAAGTACACAACCTAAAGATAAACTCGAATAAAGGTATAATTTTTGCAAATAACAGTGTATGTTTCAGTGATTCAGGGGTAGAATGATTTTCAGTCTCGTAGGAGGTCAGGGTTCAATAACTACTCAACCAAACTGCTCAATATCGTCTAGTTTACTAGCCGTTAGAGAAGGTTTTGCGTGAGGCTAGTAACCTAATCCAATACAAAAACACCATTGGTACTTTGACTGGGCACTAGTAACTAGTGTAATGAGTCTAGTCTTTTGTTTGGTGCATACTGAATTCTATCATTCAAGCTTGCAATGTGGCTACCGTTCTAGATGGCTCGCCATCACGGTCCACATCGATTTGATGATATTAGATGGTTGGAGGCAATCGGAAGGAAGCCTTCGACCAAGGTTGTGTGCTAGTTGGCACTCAACAGTCAGCAAGGCGTATCTGCAACCTTGAAGGAACTCATGCCCCCCTTCTGAAATTCGAACCCCCGTTACCCAGTGCTGCAGTCAGAGACGTTACCACTGAGCTATTTGGGCCGGCGATTGACCTCCTGTAAGACTGTAGTGGATACTTTGATAGGACACTACTGGTGCAAAAATTTCAAATGCTTGAAACCCTATGTTCTGCTTATAACGCAGAGAATGGAAAAAAAATGAAAAAAAAAAACAAATTTGAGCTTTCCAATAAAAATCGTTTATGACACTGAATAATCTTAACTGTACTGAGTATTTCATTTTGAATTAATGTATAGACAAGATCCAACCAGTGACACTTCATTGATGATTTACTTTGATAAAACTAAGCTACTATGTCCTTTGATGTATATTCACTGTCTTTATCTAAACACCTTATAACAAGACTAGAATGGAATAAACTTAAAACAGTGGGGTGCTCTAATCAATAAATAAGCTGAAATATAACCGGTCTATGTAACTACTTTTAATTAAAATAGCCAATATAAAGCTGATGCAATAACTAAAAACCAAAAATATGAGCTATAAATCACTGTCACTTATTTATCAGTATCATTATTATAAGTAAACAAGCATAATCTTTGCTTCTGTATGGTTCAGAGATTTGTTGCACATAACATCGAAAGTCTTTACAACAACCGGATGCAAACTTTCACCAACAGCTGCCTTCGCTCGATAGTGAAGGTTAGATGACCGACCAGAAAGGATAAACAACGACGAACTTTGGCAGGAAGCGAACCAACTTATAAGCTACTGTTTAACAAATATGCAGAAGGAAATGGAGACAGATGTGTTAGACGTACATTCATTGACATCAAACTCGAGTGGAACCTGAGTGGGAAGCGATGGGATGGTTGTCCGAAGATGACATGGAAGAGATCATGTAAAGAGACAGACCTTGTGGGCAGTCATGGAGCAAATTTAAAAAGGCAGAAGAGAACAGAGTGAAGTGGAGATATGCTACTGAAATTCTATATTTTACTAGTAACCCAAGGGGATAATTATAAAAATAATAACATAATATTAATTAAAACACCTTACATGTTGAACAGCTGAATGTTAATGGCAGAAACACCTGTACCTAGGTTTCGTGCTTACTGGCACTCATCAGTAAGATGTGCTCAAACAATTTACTACTTATCACAACAAAACACTAAAGAGATGATCAGATCTTTACAGTGATTTCGAAAAAAAAATAGTTTGCCTTAAAATGAATCGGCCACAAACAATAACATGCAGAGTGAAGTCGGGAGCTCACATAATCACTTACAGATAGCCTACTTTATTCTTTTAAGTAATAACACAAACTGATGCAAATTTATAAAATAAAAAGCAAAACTAAATAAAGTAAAATATGTCCGATGAGTCATTGAAGTTAGACTACAACAAAAGCATCGGAAAATAAACTGAAACTATAATGCTATATAAAGAGGTGATTGAATTTCTGTATTTCTTCTTACTACCCACTCTAAATGAGATCTAAATGAGGTGTGGTTGGGTTGAACCAAAGGGTAGTTTATCTCAATCTAGAAAATGTTTCAATTTAATACAACTAGAGTATGATTGAAAAAGGTTTCTTTTGTTTATGAAATTATTTATAATGTAAACTTAATGTGGTCGAGTTATAATTGAGTTTGGAAAGAAAACCATAGCTCGTCAATTCCTTAAAAAGAACGTTGCCTCAATAACTACAAATACATTTCCATTTTCATTCCAGTTACAAGAAAATTATTAAGCAGTATCCTACAAAAAATTTGAAAACTACTTCAACAGAATCGTTACTCTTGATAACAATCATAATGAAACAGTTACATCCTGAAACAAAGCAAACAAAGCACTAGAAGCGAGAACTGAACTATGAAAGCTGGATTAGTATACTACCACAGCAAATTTATCAGATTGCTGGACTAACGTCAACATCGATCTTGCATTCGACAGTGATTCAAAGTATAATAATATAAAATGCACCCATGGAAAGATAAACTTTTCCTTATCACCCATCATCTGAGCTCTCTTTAACCTCAAATATTAGCGTTAAAAAGCATGCACACATAGCCTATCTGTATTCACATCTCTGTCATTAAAGACTAACACATCCTTCCCTCTCGAGAAATTCTCAATAAATAATTCAGAGGAACAGCTCCATTATGAGTTCACTGTAAAACGGCACACATACCAGGAAACATCGAATGCTTGTCACTGGACTCCACCGAATAGCTCACGCTACTCACTTGTTTAGTTTAGGAATATGACTAACCGTGCGAACACTATGCCTCCAGGGAGAATTGAACTCCCGACCCCTGGTTTACTAGACCAGTGCTCTAACCACTGAGCTATGGAGGCCTGGCACGTGGTAAACATTATCAATATCTGAATTAAATGTATAACTTCACCATTTCATTTTACCATTTCAATTCACAATATCAATCAGTGCATAGTTGTCATCAACGAAAACTGTAAATTTCCAATCTACTGTAGAAAACTACCTTCAACCCCCACCAACCAGATCACGTAGCAAAACTATTTACACAGCATAATTCCACCTTCCATGTATCTTAGATGCACACAAGGAAACAAATCAATGCTTAAAGCAGCATGGGTTCAAATAGTATTGCATCTGCTACCAAATAACGAAAAGCAAAACATTATGATATACAAATAACTGTGATGTTTAACTCTAACAAATATCAAACGAAACTCTCAGTTCATACTGTTGCAGAGAAACATCTCAATCTCCTTTCGAATCGATGCGTGAATCCTTTGACTGTTTGCCTGAGCCATGTATAGAAATGTACACTATATAGCTGATGTACTGATGATTTTAAGAACCGACGGGTGCAGACTGTTGTTTACATGGCTCAAAATTGATCTTAGTGAATCAGGTGCATTTAGTCTTACTGGACTCCTAGGTCTATTAAACTTTCACCATCAGCAGCCTGCACCCGTCGGTTCTTAAAATCATCAGTACACCAGCTATGAAGTTTTGGAGGTTGACGGTATTGACTTTCGCGAATTGTACGGAGTATACTAACGGAAGATCTTATACGAACAACTTCTAAAGTATTCGTTTCTCGTGTACCAAATACAAAGCAAAACGCCACAATGACCGTCCAAAGTACGTGATATATTTCGGGACCAAATAGTAAACCGTATCGAGTGCTTAACTAGCTTGTGATCGTGCACGCACGTGACACGATGGAGTACCAAGTGGTATGGATGCTTGACCGGAAGCCTTCAGCTAAACAAGTCGACTTAAACAGTGAGGGTCAGCATCCGATGTTCAGTGATGATTGCTGTGGTCAATAATTTTGGGGAATCATTTACCGCTATATAGTGTACATTTCTATACATGGCTCAGGCAAACAGTCAAAGGATTCACGCATCGATTCGAAAGGAGATTGAGATGTTTCTCTGCAACAGTATGAACTGAGAGTTTCGTTTGATATTTGTTAGAGTTAAACATCACAGTTATTTGTATATCATAATGTTTTGCTTTTCGTTATTTGGTAGCAGATGCAATACTATTTGAACCCATGCTGCTTTAAGCATTGATTTGTTTCCTTGTGTGCATCTAAGATACATGGAAGGTGGAATTATGCTGTGTAAATAGTTTTGCTACGTGATCTGGTTGGTGGGGGTTGAAGGTAGTTTTCTACAGTAGATTGGAAATTTACAGTTTTCGTTGATGACAACTATGCACTGATTGATATTGTGAATTGAAATGGTAAAATGAAATGGTGAAGTTATACATTTAATTCAGATATTGATAATGTTTACCACGTGCCAGGCCTCCATAGCTCAGTGGTTAGAGCACTGGTCTAGTAAACCAGGGGTCGGGAGTTCAATTCTCCCTGGAGGCATAGTGTTTGCACGGTTAGTCATATTCCTAAACTAAACAAGTGAGTAGCGTGAGCTATTCGGTGGAGTCCAGTGACAAGCATTCGATGTTTCCTGGTATGTGTGCCGTTTTACAGTGAACTCATAATGGAGCTGTTCCTCTGAATTATTTATTGAGAATTTCTCGAGAGGGAAGGATGTGTTAGTCTTTAATGACAGAGATGTGAATACAGATAGCCTAAATATGAGCTTATATACAAACATTTTTCATCTGTGCTATGTTCAAGCTTACTCAAGGGAAAAACTGCATAAAATATTTTGAGGTTCAGGAACAATCTCAGGGATTCCTATGGCCACTGACCACAAATTGACCACTTATGATTCATCGAATATCCCTAACACATGGAAATTCGGCTACTACTAATGTCAGTGGAGATTAAAATTCATATAATTATATGTATTGAAGTCAAAAGTTTATTTAGTAAAGTGTATAGTACAATGTGGCACATGAGGAAACTGACTCAATATGAAATCGACGTGAAGTTAAGCTCAGAGCTCATTGATACAAGAAAGTTGTATTCATTGCAAATAATTAGATTGTCCAATGAAAATAGTAACATGAAGTTACCTCAATTCTTTATAATATTGTAATATCTATGGGAATAAAATCATACAGGATTCGTTGAAGGATTCCATCATCAGCTGACATCGGTTAGAGAATCATTGGAAAACCTGGGAGTACTGGACAATCAGCTGTTTCGTCCCAGTTTGGGACTCTTCGGTAGTACACATCCATCATACGGGGTTCGAACACAGGACCTTCTGGTTTCAAGGCGAGCTCATAGACCATTAAACCACTGGGAGCAGATCCAACTGTCCATGAATTCCGACTTCTGCCAATTCAAGATATAGTGTGATCACCAGCCAATATCAGCCGTGTGGAATATTTGTCCTCACACCTGATCTGCTATACGCCAATGGTTACAACACCTGAATGCTAATCTGATGCTCACTGTTGACTGACCCTATTCATGTAGGTAGTTTGCTGGGGTTCTAGTGGGAATTCCTGACCAGTAGTGTACAGCAGGCGTGAGGACAAAATTCCACGCGGATGATATTGGCTAGTGATCGCGCTATATCGTGAATTAGCAGAAGTTGGAATTCTTGGGCAGCTGGATCTGCTCCCAGTGGTTTAATGGTCTATGAGGTTGCCTTGTAACCAGAAGGCCCTGTGTTCGAACCCCGTATGGTGGATGTGTACTAATGAAGACTCCCAAACCGGGACGAAACAGCTGACTGTCCAGTAATCCCAGATTTTCCAATGATTCTTTAACCAACGTCAGCTAATGATAAAATCCTGTAACAAATCAGTCAAATCCCTACAAACCAATACTTGATTATACAGTACTACTGCTCACCTAGATTTTTCAAAATGATGTTTTTCAAGTTCTAATTCTTTACGAACTCGTACCATTTCTTGTTGAATTAATTCTTCTTCTCTTTTTTCTTGTGCTTGTTTCAACTTTTCATCCTTTAAAACAGAAATATATACAAAAGAAAGTTACCACAGATATAGGTGAAATAAAGAAAGTACTTTAATTTCCTTGAAAATGGTATAAGATATTTAAGATCAAAATGGTGCTAACTGATTGACTTTCAAACCACAGTGAACGGAAATCTATGAAAGAAAGAATAATAACATGAAGAATAACCAGAATCTAATGCATCTTAGAAATCACAAAGAATGAATACATATGGACCACTAAGAAAGATTTTAAGTCATATCATCAAGATTATGCATCGACTGGTTATTAGACTTTCAAGAACCCCGACCAGATAGTTTACACCTTCCTACTGGACTGAAGACAACATTCAAAAACATCGTCGATTTATGCCATGTTTTCATTTGATTACCTTTAACTCTTTTCCAATGTAATCCTATGTCAGCTAATATTGCTGGACGAGGAAGATGGTGGCTTAGTGTGCGTAACACTTGTCCCAACCATCTCAGTCGACACAACCTAAAAATTTCATCGACTGACTTGTCATCGTTAACTACCAATCAATGCCCAACCTCAATATTGATCACCACATTATACCACTTAATATAGAAGATAGAATGCAAACATCTGTGATCACAGACAGCTAGCCTCTTTAAGTCTTCCAACTTCAACAGCTATATCTCACCACCGTATAAAAGGATAGAGAGAAGGACTGTTGGGCACTCATACCCTTCAGTAGATAGCTGGATATCACGTGTACACCACTGATAACGTTAGTTAGCAAATCTCACATGAGCCTTCTGTATCCCTGTTGAGATTTCCTCAACAATTAGTCCATTAGAGTTGATAGAAAATCTGACAATCAAGCAAAACATTGTATCCAAATACAGCACACAAGTGGAGAATCATACACCATGAAAGGTAATAAACTTCAACATGATAATGATTCACCATTTTGACTTGGTTTTCTCATTTTCAAACTAATTTAACCAAAAAATTAGGAATAACAGTGATAAAAGCATTATCGTCATCTAATTGACAAGTAATTAAGATAAAAGTATAATTTAAGCAGCACTAAAGTAAAATGTTATCTCACTTGATTTCTTTCTGTCTCATAAAGAAGTAACAATTTTACTGTGTAATATTTCGTATACAATTTAACTGTTCATAGTTGAACAACTTTTAGTTAATTATAGGTAATAAATTGTGTTCTCAGCGTTTTTCTGGACAAATTACAGATTTATAATCTGATAGAAATATACTGATAAGATTGAACTATTAGATAATATATATACGGTAATCTCTACCACTTGAAAAATTGTGATAAACAGGTGTAGAATAAATCAGTTTGTATCACTTCAAATATTGAATAGATCGTGATCCTAACTACAATATGTCTTCATATGGAAAGTACAATAATTCATCTCTTCCTTTAAGATATGGTTTACTGATAAGCTTCAAGAAGCAGAATATCTAAGCCAAACACTGTCTGCCTGTCTGTTTTCGACATAGAACTCTGCACATATGTGCGGCAGTTCAAGACACCACATTCCATGTAGCACACAAAGCAAGAGAAGAAAGTAGGACAAATGCAAAACAGAGACAATAGACAGGGATATGAGACAAAAAGAACAGTAAGATCGAAGAACAATATAGTTTCATTGGAAATTATAATTCACAAGGAGTGGATGCATCTGCGCTAACCATCGAGAACTATTTTGAGCCATATCACCAATTGTTTCCAACCATTGGTTTTTACTGTCCCGAAGACCCCAACCAGTCAGGAAGTCTACACCTTCCTACGTGGCTGGCTTAAACTAACTGTTGTAGATTTCATTGACTAGTGCCATGTTTTGGTTTGACCGCCTCTAGCTCTTTTCCAGCCTGACCCTATGTCAGCCAGCTAACATTGCCCATCGAGGAAGGCGATGACTAGGCATACGTAACACATGTCCTAACCATCTCAGTCGATGTAGCTTCACAGCCTCGTCGATTGATTTACCCTCCTTACCTAGCACTCGATGCCTAACCTCAATATTGCTCAACTTATTATACCACTTCACACGGGAGATAGAACGCAGACAACTATGATCGAAGACAGCTAAATTTTTCATGTCTTCCACTCTCAATGGCCAGGTCTCACATCCAGCCATAAAGGAGGACGGAGACGACTGATGAGCAGTACACACGCCCTTTGGTCGATAGTCGGATATCACGTCTACGCCAGAGACGGTGTAAATTGGCATATGCGAAACTAGCCCTCTGTATCCGTACTGAGATTTCGTCAGAGATCAACCTGTTGGGGCTGATGGTACTTCCCAGGTAAGTGAAGCGGTAAACATGCTCTACCAATTCACTTCCTATTTCTAACCTAGGAGTCGGTGTAGTTCAATCCTGTAACATCATCTTACATTTGGCGGGAGCGAATCGCATGCCAAACATTCGTAGATTGCAGCTCAAGGTGTTCAGAAGACTCTGCATTTTGTCAGCGTCCTCGCCTAGAAGGACTATATCATCTGCATATTCTAAGTCAACGAGATTATTCTCTGGTAGCAAGTCAATCCCTGAGTCTCTGAAGTGAGTTAGGGTTAAGTCCATTAGTACATCTATGATGAAGTTGAGTAGAAATGGAGATAATGGGCATCCTTGACGGACGCCACTAGTCGTCACCACTTCAGATGACAACTCTCAGTAAGCCCTCACCTGGCTGCATGAGTACGATTAGAATGCCTTAATCAGTGCAATGTATTTTCTCGGCATTCCCTTTACAGCCAAACATCGCCAGAGAACCTCTTGGTTGACAGAATTGAATGCCGCCTTTAGGTCAAGAAATATAATGATTGTTGAATGCTGGTAGGAATGCCTATGTTCTAGAATCTGTTGAAGGGTGAAGATATGACCAAACACTAAACCAAATATACCATGGCAAGATTTCTTATCGCTAAACTTAACGACTATTTAATAATCATGATTAACATTCCACTAAGACTGATCAGAGAATAGTAAGATACTAGTAGAAATTTGACAAATTCATACAAACTATGCCATAGAGTATTTTTTGCGGGCTGGGGTGTGTGAAAATAACTTCAAAACTTACCTGTTTAGCTTTATACAGAGCTTGTGCTCTCATTTCACGTTCAGCAGCTTGACGTATCCTACGGGATTCTAATTCTTCTTTCCGTAATTCACGTCGGGCTTTAGCTTCTTCTTGATGTTGAAGAATCTTTTCCAGTGTAGATTGAGATTTACTAGATAAACTAAAACTGTTTGAGCAATTATTTTTGGGATTATATTTAGAAAACAGAGTATCTTCAAGAGTATTTGATACATTAAATTTATTTGAAAACTACAAAAAATTAAAAACAAGGGGAAATTTATGAATTATGAGAAGGTGACAGCGACACTGTTAATGAATTTTATTCATAGCAATAAACGTCTACTACTTGCTAGTTAAAACATCTTGAAAATCTTTACTTTTATACATTGTAATACAGGGAATATTTTTAAATATCTACTAAATAAATAGAAATTTCCAGGTTTGATATTCATCTAGGTTAATTGTATAAAACTCAACCATTGCCACCACACAAAACCAGTTCATTTATCCCCTCATCTTAGTTATCTTGCCACTGCTCATATTATTTCTCATTTCTGACTTTTCTTCAACTCTGTGAACATCATTCCTAACCTGTTTAATTCACAGTGCCATTACCATATCGGAATTTTCAAAGTCCAAACTCTATGTCGAACCAGACAGAAGACTTCATTGGTTAAAAGTTTAGATTTTCAGCCTATAAATTCATTTCATACAACCGGTTCTCTTTATTAGTTTGAATAAACAGAAACAACATATTTGCAGGATAATACGAGCTCGTCTTATTTCATGGATTCTCTTCAACTGCGTACATCTTAAATAAATCAGTTATAATTTCTAAAACATTTCTGAAAATACTTTTTACGGTGACTTCGAGTTATAGACAAAGAGTAAAGGCAGTATAATTTCAAAGATCATGTAAGTAGACAATTATTTAGGATTAAAAGAGTAACTGTTTGTACAGTGATTCAGAAAATGAGCAGAGTTCACATTTTGCTTGGAAACAAGGATGGACTAGAGATCGAATACAAGATAGAAAAACGGAGTTAACTAATACACATTATGGAGGGGAGTTCAGAAGGATGAGGGTGAATTAATATTATTGTTTCCTTTAATTCCTAGAGGAACATAGGGCTTCAGTCGCACGTCTCCATTGCGTTCGGTTCTCCGCCAACATTTTCACCTGGCTCTACATCTGCCGACATGCTTTCATCTTCCCTTCACATCACCTCCTCCATGTCACCCTCGCACTGACGACCACATCTCTGTATCCCATTCGGGTTCCACTCGAGCGATGGCCTGGTGTGTGATGTCACTTGATGGTCTGTTTTCTCAGAGTATGACCAACACACCTCCATTTCTTCCTGCATATTCGTTGCACAGTTGGTTCCTATTGGGCTGGTTCGCTCGCTGTTGCTGATCTTTTCCAGCTATCTGATCTTGAGCGAAGACAGCTGTTGATGCAAGTTCGTAGTTTGTTCGAAGTGCCCTTTGTGACGCGGCACCAAGTCTCTGATCCATATAGTAAGTAGCACTGAATTCACACTGGAGTTGAAAATCTGGATCTCATTTTTCATGTCGGGTGATCTTCACACAGACTTGAGAGTAATGAAAGCTTGCCTTGCCTTCCCGGCCCTCACCTTGATATCCTCTTCAGTTCCAAAATAATTTAATTTATTAGATTTGGAAACTTAATAGTGAGTTCATCTCAGTAAACGAAAATCAAGATTGAGTGGAATGTTACGCAACAGAACAAAACACCAAAGCACACAACCAAAACAATTATGGTTACCAGGGTGGTGAGAGATTAGTCACACTCCCCATCGAAGTGTTTTGATGGCAATGGCTTCTGAGAACCGAAGTAATCATTTCTTTGTGTATTGATTATTTTGAAAGCCTGACTAATTTCCACTGTATGCCCAGTGTAAGTCAGGTGTCTGGTGATTGCACTTGAGAACACTTTATTGCCTTGTAAATAGAGACTTTTAAGGATATTCTCTAAAAATCTAGCAACCGCTCTCTTCTCAGTCCTTCTTATGTACTTGCTGCCGCAAGTGCAGGTGAATTGGTAAATTCAGTTGGAGTTGACATGAGCAGGATACTTATCTACTTTTGACTGGGTTAACGAGCATACTGTGTTGTAAAGTGGAATGAGTCTAGTGGAGACAAATGCTGTTTTCAATGCATCTTTAATTCCGTCTTCCATCCTTGTGAATACATCTTCACCTTTGTACGCTAGAGATAAGAACTGGTTTCTTTCCGACTGTTTCGGGTTTCGGTTTAGGTTTATATGAACTTCTGAGGGTATCCATTTTTGATTAGGTTCTTTCTGATGACTGCTAGTTCCTCTTCGATCTTATCCGCTAAACACAATGCCCTAGCTCTGCTGAAGAGCGTTTTTACCAGACTTCGTTTGTAGTTGATTGGGCAAAAGCTGTGATAATTCAAGTATTGGCCAGTTCAAGTTCCTGTCCTATAGATGGATTTTTCAGTTACCCCGCAATTTCTTCTTTTTATGTTGAGATCTAAGAAGTGGAGCTGATTGTCACATTCATGGTCCATTATAAATGCTATTTGAGAGTTAGCCGCACTGAGGTTTTCGAACATCGGAGATGCGTGATCCATATTGTTGCAAACCACAAACGTATCGTCAACATCCATGCAGTAATAAATGGTCTTCTCTATTTCTGGCTTCATTCGTATCTGTTCAAGATGAGCCATGAATGTATCCGCAAGGACAGGACCCAAAGGTGAACCCATATCCACCCGTCAATTTGCTAGTATAGCTAGTTATTGAATCGGAAATGAACGTTCTTTGTACAAAGAAGCAGTAATTTTTGTAGCTCCTTTTCAGGAAGAGGAAGTAGTTCGGATTGCTGGCATATGATTTTCACCGTTTCTTCAATGGTTATGCTGCTAAACGGAGAACAGACATCGTATGGTACAAGAAGTGTGTCTGAAATATTCAGCTGGTTTAATTCTTGCGATAATTGGAAGGAATAATTGATACTGTGGACTGCCAACCTTCGTCGAACTGGTTCCAACTTTTGTGTTAACTACCTAACCAGTTTGTGGCATGGTGATTTCACCACTGACATTATAGTTCTCAATGGTACATCAGGTTCGTGAACTTTGGGTTGACAACACATGAACGATAGGCATGAACTCCTTGCTATGCTGTTGTCGACTAGTCCTTCTTTAAGCAGTTCCTTGAAGTACTTGTTTACCTTGTTTTCAAAGGCTGTTGTTCAATTGCTTTTTGACCCATCCACTTGTCTACTTACATGATCTTCGAAATTATGTTGCCTTTACTCTCTGTCTATAACTCAAAGTCATCGTAAAAAGTATTTTCAGAAATGTTTTAGAAATTATAACTGATTTATTTAGGATGTACGCAGTTGAAGAGGATCCACGAAATAAGATGAGCTCGTATTATCCTGCGAATATGTTGTTTCTTTCTTTATTCAAACTATAGATTTACGTTGTACCTCTGATGCGTGCATACAATAACCAAGTATGCTTTTCAAATAACCCCGTCTATTCAACATTTTTAGCCTACAAAGTTCATCATACGTGTATTGAAAAGTTTCCTCTCTAGGGACAGGAAATACTACATGAGCACTAATCAAATATTATTTTGCTTATCTGTTGGTCTGAGAACAAATAGACTTCATAAAAATCAAATTTCAACCGTTCACTTATCCAGTTTATCAAAGAAAACATTACGTCAATTGAATATCACTGAATTTCTATTCTTTTTTTTTGTGTGTGTTATTTTGAATTAAGACAATTCGAGCTGCTGCATTTTCATGCAAATTTTTAATGTCACTAATCAGTTAATCTTTAATTAAAGCATGACTCATCGAAGAGATGACGCAGAATACGACAATAGTAGCTGTCGCAGGACGAAATATTAACATATTAAGCATATTAATATTTATGTAATGCAGAAGTACATAATACTTATGGGTTTAATGAATGCAGTATATAAAATAATATTTGATTTTAAAAAAGACTTGTTCAGGACTTTATTATTTTATTACTGTTCCCTTCGGTTCCAAGTGGAATATAGGGCTTCAGTAGCACATCTCCATTTCACTCGATTCTCTATAGTCCTTTTTAGCCAGCTCCAAGACTTCCCATAAGCTACCAACTCCTCCTCACATGACCTCCTCCATGTCACTCTCAAACGGCCAACTCGCCTCTTCCCAATCCGGCTTCCACTCGATAGCCTGGAGCGTACGTAATGTCACTCAACAGTATCCGCAGAGTGTGTCCGATCTATCTCCATTGACTCTGCATATTTGTTAGGCAGTAAGTTCTTGGTAGGTTTGTTCACAGAGTTCCTCGTTGATCATCCTTTCTCGCCTTATGATCTACAGTATTTAGCGAAGACAGATGTTCATAGAAGTCTGAAGTCTGTTCGAAATACTTTTGGTGATACGTGTGCCAAGTCTTAGAACAATGCAAAAGCACTAAGGTGACATTATTGTCGAAAATCTAAATCTTATTTGTTGTGCTGATTTCAGCAGATTTTCACAGTGAATAAACTTATAATTAGGTTGAATTACATATTCTTTTATATTATAATCATATGAATCACTGCATAGGCAACTAGCATGTTACTTAATTGTAAGGCAGGAGACTGTTATTTGCGGATAATCTACTCTGTCAGACAGACTTTCATGAAATGAATCATGTATGAAACTGCATGCCGACTGCTTGAATATCAGAAAAAAATTAGAGTCCTTGATGACCGGGGCTCCCATTAACTGAATTTCAGAATCCAACACAGTGCTTTGTACAGTTATACTTTTTATTTTAGTTAAATTCTTAAATATTCTACTTTTCTTGGTGCAAGTTTTCTTGGCACATCCAAATTTTTCAAACACATTAAGCATCTTACCAATTTTGTTAATTTACTTTCCGTATAACGGCAGTTAAACTCAACAGATATCTCTTTCTATGCAGGTTTCTATGTTAAATTGTACATGTTTAGGAATGTGGAGAAAAAGAAATTTTGCTTAGAAAACTGTTTCCTCACAAAATAAAAAAGCATTCAGATTTTCATTTTTAAAACACAAGAGTGTTTTTAATGCAACTTACAGTATTCCGCCGACAACTTTTTTGAATAAGATGATCCCATTCCTTTTTTATTTCCTTCCTATCCGGAGTAAATAGTTTTAAGTCATCAGTATCCAAATCTGTTTCATCAGGTGGAAATACACTTTTGACCATCCATTCGTTTAGGAGTTGACGGGCTTCACTATATACTGAAGAATTTACAGAGGATCAGTAGATTTTTACAATTACCATCTTGAGTATGAAAGTCATTTGAGTTGCTAAAGGGTTTAACAAATATTCCTGTACTAAAAGAGTTCTAGAACACAATATATGTGTTGTAGGTTAATATAATATCTTGACTTACTTTGAACAGATTGTGCTTCTGATTGAAAACACTAGTAGGCTCAAAAGAACTAAAGTTTTTCATTCACACTGAAGTTTCCTAAAAGTAGAAATGTGAAGATTGTATGCTTTCATATTTATTAATATGGGGAAATAGACATCAAAGGTTAACAGAATTCCTATACACACATATTTATTTCATTTAGCAAGTTTTTCTTTTTTGTGGTAAATAAGTGTTCTGAGTTATTTGCTACTCTCTTCAACACTATCTAGACCTTTATGTGTGAAAGGTTTTTAAGCTATTGTCTCTTAGAAAAAGCTAAAGTCTTTGAGATAGTGACACACATGTAATCTGAAAAAGATTAGAATAAAAAGATTCACAAAGAGCCACAAAATAGCTGAACGTAAAATACAAGGCTATTTATAGCTGCAAGCTTCTAACAAGTTCATGGTAGTCATTATGAAACCATCATTAAAACGTATAGAATTACTTAAAGATGATTTGATGTGTCTGTGAGATCACAAATACTGAATGCATCTGCGCCATTCAGAACGGAATATGGTCATCTCAACAACGGTCCCCAGGCAGTGATTCTTAGACTCCCGAGGGTAGTCAAAACCTCCCTATGTGGCTTAAACCAACTTCCAAACTCTTCGTCGGTTGATTCCGTGTTTTGGTTTGGCTTTCCCTAACTATTTCTAAACTTAATCCTGCGACAACTAACATTACTACAACACGTGTCCTAGACATCTCAATCGATTCAACCTCAAAAGCTCACCGACTGACCTACCATCCTTACCTAACAATCAATGCCTAACCCCAGTACCGATTACCATATTATATTACTTAACACGAGAGATTGAATGCAAACATCTGTGGTCAAAAACAACTATTCTTCTCATATCCTTCACTTTCAATGACCAAGGTTTACAGTCAAAAGGAAGGACAGGGTAAACTGTTGTATGGTACACACGTCTTCTGATCAATACCGGATATAAAGTGTACGCCAAAGGCTACATCAATTGGTAAATTCAAGAAGAGATTTTGGATCCGTGCTAATATTTCGTCAGCAACCAGTTTATTAGGTATGATGTATTCAGCATATGAAACCACTCTGCTTCAAAAATGTTGATGACAATTTTGTTTGTGAAATCTGCTTATCGTCTGAAAATAGAAATTTCATATTAAAACTCAGGATTGTTGGCAGAAATCTTGAATTATTTAGGAATTAGTTACCCGAAGCTTGATAGTTTGAATCCTGCTGCCAAAAACACTTTACTCAACACTCTGCAAATCTGTCCACTATCACTTCTTATCAAATCACTGACTGACATATCAGCGTAGAACTCTGCCCTAAAGAGCATCAGACAACGTTGTAACTCTTCGAGAAAGTACTCATAAAAGTGGCGAAGACAAATGTAATAAGATTATGTATGACAAAAGGAACATCTAAATGAATGTTTCTGAGGATGGTGTGAATCTCAGTTAATTGATCTTCACAGCCTATCGGACTGATATGATTTACCTAACTAACTTATGTATATAAATATAAAACTTGGGCACTGTGGTAGAGCGTAATGGAGTAACTTTCATGTAAAATTTTACTATTAGAGACCGTGTTATGCTGATAACATAAAAGACTGGAGTAAAGCACCTGTGGTCGAGAACGATTAATTTCTTAATGTCTTCTATATACGAATGCTGAACGAAACCAATCTGAATGGTGCTTACTAGTGTGCATCAGGTGACTAGATGGGAATGTCAGTTATTCAAAACCACTACGTTATAATTTCAGCAAATGTAGCAAGTGGAATATAGTCTTTCTTATTTTCAGGGTAAACTTTGAAAACAAGCAAAACTCAAGTGATACACTAGAATTTTATAAGAAACCAACCTATTCGTCATACCACACTATGATGCTGTATTATTTTCTGGTGATACCGTGAGTAAAACCAATAACTATTGATTAAACTGAGACAGCCACATAAATTTATATCCTTGTTTGCAGAGTGACTGCTTGCTGTCATGAAATTTTTGTAGCTGCCAAGTTTTCCGGATATTAACCATCGATGTTCCTTACTTATTACACATACTCAATAATTGTCTTCTTCCTCTAACAAAGTATATTACTCTTTATATCAGCAAGCCCAATTCTTAATATCACATGAGGGTATAACTGCTGGAAAACGCCAATGTGCGAATATCGTTAAGTCTAACGTATTAATTTTTATGGTTATGGATTCGGAGTAATGCAACCTGCTTAAGTTTTTTCCCTCAGGACGAGTTTTGTCGGCCCGTGTAATCAAGTGAGACTCCTTGCTTAGAATCTACATTTCTTCAAATTCAGGGTAAAAATCTAAAAAAGTGGATAAAATATATGCGAAAACATGGATCATAAGGTGGAAATGAATGAAGGGTAGACTCAGGTTTTCATAAGCCCAGTCACAATTGATTTCAGATGCATTGCAGAAACTCTGACTACTTTGGGCGAATAAATCTATCGTCCCGATGAGCGCCGAACATTTTTTGATGGAAATTTCAACCACTGTTTCCAGAGTATCCTGTTTGTTGGATTGTTACCACTATTGTTACGTTGCTAGTGGTGTGGAGGAAATTATAATTCCTGAAAGTTTTCTCCTACAGCTTTCAACATTCGCCGCTAACTACTGGCCTCCACTGTTTAAGTAAACTGATTAAGCCAAAGATTCCTGCCACCACTCAGCACACGGTTGTCCGTGCACTCACTCTAGTCAGCTAAGGAGATATCACTGCCCTACGTTTCAGATTCTTAAATACATCATATTACGAACGATGAAGTTGTGGTTCTATTTTGGGTTCCTAAGATATCTCTGATCAATGAAAACAACACCTGAGTGGTGATTTAAAGTATATTCCTGGGTTAGCATATAATTGTATTTCATCTGATAAACATAAATGATTTCCTTCTCAAACGTTTTATAACAGCAGTTAAGTGATAAGACTTAATTGGATTAATACCACTTTTATTGAGGTCATGAAACAGGTACATATGATCAAATACAGTGAAACTATACTACATTTTCTATGCTCCGTGGATAAAATGACAACAGAGCATAAGATGAGGTTTCTGAAACTAAATTTCTGACCAGGAACTTACAGTATCTTCAAATGCAGGTCAGAATAAGCTGTCACAAAAATACGTTTAAAATGTCACAAAACATTAGCGCCAAACCTTGAACCCGGTTACCGTGGTTCAACATACAATTCTTTTGCAAAAGGGCATAGACTTTATGTGAGTTCTTGCCACTCAGACGTTGTTATTTTGAAATGATTCTAGGTTTTTGGCGGTTCCCAGAAGAATCTATAACATCGACATCTGTAGCTCTACTGAATTCAGTAAAAGGAGGTACGGTACGGAGCGTATAATTCGTCCCAGGTAAGCAGCTCTTCTGGGAGTCGCAAGTTTCTTTTCCTTCTTTAACATTGACAGAAGCAACACGAAGGACGTATTTATCCAGTAGAAAGGTAATCAAGAGAAGGATTTGGCGAAATAAATGAACGGTAGTTCGCACACAGAATGAAGAACGAAATCCGAAATTTTAACTCCAACGTTAAGTCAGTGTTTCTCTGTGGGTCAGGAACTTGGTGCGCCAGGAAAGTGTTATTAACAGCCAGGTGCGGTCTACTACTAGCAGTTGCCTTTTTCACTAACATAAGTCGCCAGAAGCATTTCAATAGGCTACTGCGGACTCTTGTCAGTTATCGCCATCGCACCATACTGAAGGCCATACAGGGGGAAAGGATTAGCAACAGGAAAATCCGTGGGCAAATCAGTCAGGGACTTCTCAATCAGCGAATATGCTTAAAAAATGGAGATAGATAGGACATACTTAAGAGACCAATGAGCGACATTGTGCCTCAGGTTCTTGCTTCACGGGAACCCGAATGGAAATTGACGTAGACGGGAATGGAGGAGAAAAAAGCTTGTGAGTCTGGAATTGTTGACCTCCAAGCAAAGTACGAGGTATGCGAATGCAAGCTCTTATATCCGTAACTCCTATAGTATTTGTTTCGCCTATACCAAAGGCAAATCGTAATACTGAATTGATTATTTGAAATACGAAGTATGTTTAGGGACCAAATCGTAGTGAAACGATGATTGCTTAAGTAGCGAGGAATCGTGCACAAATGAACGAAAGTAACACAACGGCAAGCCAAACGGCGTGGATGCTTAATCAGCCCAGCGACTCAATTTAAATAGTGAAGCTTAGCGTCCAATGTAGGGGTGATGAGTGCTGTAGGCTAGTGATTTTGGGGAATATCTACCGCTAAATTTGTGTTCGTGGGGCCAGCCAAGGGGGAGTACAGAGAAAAGGATGAATACATATGTGCTGCTATAGCCCGACATTCTATCCTGGATCCAAGAGAATAACAACAATAATTATATGACTGGGGATTTCGTTTAGGACAGACATGAAAGTGTTAGCACACAAAGGATACAGTAGTGTGAATAAAGTTAAAAATAACTGCAAGAAAATATTGAAATGTACAAAAACAGTGTTGGTACAATTTTTAGTACCATTACTGCCAATTACAACTAGTTTGCTTCCCTGTGGATGCGAGTAGACCTAGCGTTTTTGAATAAAAATATATCATTATATTATTATCTTTGGAGTTACTGGAGAACAGTGGATGGCAGAAGAATACCGACTCTTAATGCAGAGGCAGACAGTGTTCTTCCCACGGCGTCTGATATTCTCTTCTTTGACGTTTCGGCCAGAATGTCACCCTCAGTTATCAGTTATATATACCTGATATTCATTATTGTCTCAGCAATATAACTCATCGCTATTTTTCCGAGTGCCGATGAATCACTTGTGATTCTCATTTTCCGAAACATAGCGAAATAGTAGAGCTTTCGCTTAGGAGTTTGTTTCACCATTTGTAACCTGCAGTTTAAATATTTTCTGAGCTGCATACTATTTGCACAAATTATTAAGTACCTTTCACGAGATTAAAAGTTGTTGTTAAGTAGTGCTATTATGATTCAAGTTTTTCCAATAATGATTTCTCCGTAGATTCTGAAAGCAGATGACAATGATTGCCACTCATCGACTGTGTATATGTCGTACGTCATACTGCAGCTTACTACACTGAGTGGACCATTTTATTTATCGCTCCTGATATTTGATCTGGTGATAATAAATCATCATTGTTGTGCAACCTATTAATCCCCTAATCATATTCCATTGCGTGTAAATATCTTAATATAAGACATCTGATGGAATTCCATTTAATTACACCGAGAATGATATTGGATACATGATGAATATACAGTTTAATTTAACCGCTTTTATACTTAAACTAACTGGTGTTATTGCTATTGTTTATAAAACGCTTGTCCTCTGTCACAAAAACAAAAACGAAATTAAATTTCACAGCATTCGAGATCAGGAAACAACGGCGAAAAACTGATAAAAGAAGCGATCATTTTGAGGTAAAATTGATACCAGATTATTCTTCATCATTATCAACAGCCAATTTTATCGAAACACGGTAAAGAATCCTGATGAACACTTTGCTACAAACTGATATTTTTTAAGCCCGTTGCTTGAATCTTGCTGTTGTGAAGTTGATTTCCACTGCATATTTGTTAGGCAGTTTCAAAATGTCACAAGTGTTCAGCATCATCTAAATATGTGGTAGGCTATTCATGAATTCATGAATTAATTAATTAAATAAATTAATTTACGAGATAATTCCCAAACAGGACCTGAGTACCATTTGTGAGAAGAGTAAGCATTCCAAAGTGTTTATAAAAACTAAAATGTGGAAATAATTATTAATAACATAAGAAATAATGCCAGAGTTTTCAGTACTAATCAGTGTTTCTGTATGGTTCAGAGACTTGGAGAGTGAGTCATCTGATGTGTTTACAGCAGCTTACTCTAGACTTTCATCAACACCAAATTTCGCTGCCTCGATACTGGAGATTGGATGGCCCACCTGAAATGATTAGCAACAAGGAACTCTGACAATGAACCAACTAAGATCCTATGTCACAGATAATGGGGTAAGCTGAAAATACTCTGAGGAGACATTCAAGTAATGTCACACACTGGAATCTCGATAAGAAGCCACTTAAAGAGCGACTTTTTTAATGTCCGTAAGTGACTTATAGATGGTGTTAGAAGGAAACTTCAACATTTTAAAAGTAAGAGGTTTTGTTGATGGTCTTAGGCAGTATTGTGGTGAGAACTGGCTGCTAGCCAAAGTTGGTAGACAGTAATTGACATCAGTGTTTATGTCCCCAATATTGGTGGTGAGAAAATAAGAACAAAGGCTTTGCGCAGGCGGATACAGTTAGCATATGGATGATCTGACACAGCCACAAAGAGATGCAAGGTTAACTTTCTGTGAGAAACAACCAATCAAAAGACTGTATTTTCTACTAACAATAATGTACATTAAAATCTATAAATATGTGTTGATTTTCCTTAATAAACGATCTGTTGCCTGACCCTTGTCTTCTGTTGTTACAGTATGATCTATACTATTGTAAGATCTTATGCCCACAACCCCTATAGTATTTGTTTCGCGTAGACCACAAACAAGGCGAAACACCGAACTGATCGTCCAAAATGCGAAGTATTTTTCGAAACCAAATCATAGTGTGAGGTTGATCGCTTAACTAGCAAGGGATCATGTACGAATAGACGAACGTAACACAACGGTGTGACAGATGGTGTTGATGCTTGACTGCAAGCCTTCAGCTAAATAAGTTAACTTTAACAGTGAAGGTCAACATCCATTGATGAGTGATGAATGCTATAGGCTAATGACTTTGGAGAATTATCTACCACTACAGCAATCTGTCTGTTGTGGGGTTAGTTGAAGGAGATTGCAAAGGACCGAGTGGGACCAACAATAATGTATACTGTATGACCAACTAAGATGGTTTTAGAAGGATGAGCTGTTGTCACGACAATCTCGAGGCCTTTCACTGTCCCATGGATACTTGGAATTTGTACTTGAATCATCTGTCATTAAGTTGAGGACAAACATATTTTGTGAAAATACTCCTCCATATTTTCAACTGAAAATGTATTATGAGCCATGTTAATTACATAGCTTTAGTGACTTTAACCTCGTTTACTCAATGGTAATCATGACTGTTATGTGACGGCCTATTCTGATGATGCAGACGATTGAATCCTCAGACTGAACCAGCCTAACTTAGTGGCCAGACTCCCCCTAACACCACTTAGTTAATTAAAAGAGAACATAACACTTACATCTGTTAACGGAAACCTAAGGTAAGAGAGTGAAAATCATGTGAACGATAATGTTAGAAAGCAATATAACTACCTGTAGATTGTGAGAGAATGTAGCCTAGAACTCTCTGCTCATCAAATAAGCATATTACTAGTTAGCCATTATGTTTAAGTGATAAACAGTCATGAGATAATATACACCTACTGATGAATTATAATCTAAATGGAAGAGTAATGGGATTGCCGACTAAGCATCCACTGACAAGATTTTACTAGTTAACTTAGGCTTGTTCTCTCTTGAACCACTATGAAAGGAAGTAAAATATATTTCCGCTTAACTTTCATTATTATCAATTTCTCCATTTTGCAATCACAAAGCGAGTCCTACGTTGACTTTCTTGTATGCACGTAGACATTCACTCAACCAATTCCAATTGACATGATGTAATGCGTAAGACTAGAAATTTGCGTACGATATCATCACAAACAAAGTTTATTCATCATATTTATTATAAAGAAGTTCCACAAACTAAAACCACCTACGTACAGTGAGAGGCTGTATAGTAATGTATTCCCGAATTATTTTCCTCCGAACCCTAATCACACTAAAAGTGAAATATACGCTGAGTAATACAATGAATTATTTTCCAATATCCATATCATTTTGACAGACAGGTACGGTACATTTTTATCTAAACTTCAAAATTATTTGATGCATAAATTCTTTTGCTCCTACCATCTACAAGCCTGTTCAGCTTCTTGTCAAGATGCTATCCCATGGGCCCTACAGAAATTCATGAGACATCTAACAGGTCAGCTTGTTCTATGGGTTCTAATCTTCTCACTGAAATATCACTTATCTGCCTCACGATAATCTTTTCATTTACGCACTATTATACTCTATTTTATCTTAACTACCTAGGCCTTTTATTAAAGCAAAAACTTACTCTTTGTGCATATTTGTTGCTTGCCTAAAGTCTAAGTGCTCTGATGAAAAAGAAATACAACAACAACACCAATGTTTGAACAAAGCTATATTTTCATCGGAAACGTCCTAGTCTCCATGGTAAGACCAATATGGTTAGCATTAAACATTGTAAATGTATAATATCATTCCAAGGAGTCTCCACCTCCTTTTTGTATATATCTTGTAAATGTACTTACAATGATGTATTACCCGTAATTGTATTTTATACCATTTTGCAGTTTCTCAGGAGGTTATTTTCTTTCTGAAATAGCTTTTAATCAAGTGGCGGCATAGTACTTACCCAAATATACGCTGTTCACTGATTGACCATAACTATCAGCATGAAAGGGAACGAAGTTTGGGTTGGCGCTCAACTTTGATGGTGAAGGGTTTACAATTTAACATTCATAAGAACCTGTTCTGATTGCTTGTACAATAATTGAACAATTTAAACTTTCGAAAAAGTACTAATTTATGATACTTCAGGATTGTAATTTATAACATAACTGATCGTGCGTGTAAAAATGGCATGCATTTCTTGTAAACTTACCCATTTATACGTAATATAAATTATTATTATTATTATTATAAATTGAGAAGTGAACAATAACTTCGTTGTGTTTCTATAAACAACAACGCAAACTTTCGACTGATTCATAATTTTATTAGACTGTGCAACAAAAATTGACCCATCAGACAACATTATGTAAGTCAAGAAGTACCAAGAGTCCAGAGCAACGATGTGCAACACTTGAGTAAAAATTATCTTTAAAAAAACAATTGCGTTTATGGAATATGCCAGTAACTATGATAATTGTAACGGTATAGTCCAGTGGTATGTGCACGTAGTGACATAAGTAATATGTTATTTAAATATATTCAACATTAAATGAATTGTCTATGGAAGCATTTTACGTGGGTGACTTCAGAGTTCTTGCCAGTGTCTGTGGCAGTAAATACTGCTTCATAGACATATCTAGGCTTCATACTTCAAAGTTAAACATACAAAATTGCAATTTTAGGATTTTGCGCCAACAACTTGTACCCTAATGGCAGTCAAAGAAAATGGTGTATTTAGTGTGATCCTTCAGTTCCCAGAACAAGTCTTTCGTGTTCTAGCCTGTGTATGAGTCACATTTGTTGCCTGAGGACTCCTGATATTACCTAATTTCCCAGATTGAACAATAGGTGGGGCGGAATTAAAACCTAAGGATCCACAGACTCTGAAAGTCAAGTGCTTAAACCACCACCAGCAAGTAAGCCAGAAGACATTTCCACACTTCTCCCCTCTCTTCCCAGAAATAATGTGATTGAAACATGGAATAAACAAACCAACAATGTTGAACAAATCAAAACACCACTTTCTATCAAGACAATAATTCGATTATTTGAAATTTCAAAAGAATCATACTCTAGAACGATTAAACTGTAAAAACAATAGTAATAATAATAATAATGTGTAATTCCATCAAAAAGAAACAAAACAGAAACACAATTATAACTATTATGATAAACTGATATGAGATACATACATACATACACACAAAACATAATAGGTACACGGATAAACTGTTTTTCTCTCTCTCTCTTCTTTGCTAAACTAACTGGCAACAACTGTGTACAATATATCCCCGAAATGCACCTGAATATTATTATGATCATCATTACTATTATTATCAATAAGATCAAAGAATCAAATATAAACCGGGGGAAAGAAGGAAAAAACACAATAAATGCAAAGGAAAAACGAAAAAACAAACATTTAAGAAAATAGAATACAGGACGCAACAAAACCAACATTATGACGACATGGGGGTAGGGGATGGATAGATTGACAGATAGATCATTAATAAATGCTATGTAATAACACACACAGAGTACCCCCCTCTCTCCTATCGGCAATTTTAACAAGGATGCGAGCGCATAGGGATAGTGTTTAAGCATGGTTTACAAAATTCATTCCTAAGCAGAAAAAATAAGCATTACACATAGAATAATAATATTAATAATAATAATAATAACAGTATATCTCGGCATTTATTACAATATGATTCACAATGATTCAATTTTTCATAATCATTCATTAGGGGGATCATAATATAATCATAGTAATAACAAGAATAATATTAACAAAGAGAAATAACAAAACACACAAACAAAATAAACTGTATAACAAATGCATAGTGATAAAGAAAAAAAGAGAAAAAGAAGAATGAAAATGCCTTTTTGAAATATTATAAATGCATAAAAGTAAGTAAACTGTGTTAACCATAATCATTATCATAGTCATAACATAATAACAATAACAATGAGGAGATAATTGAATTTTGAAACATCTGATAAAATGAAAGATTTATTGAGTTGTATATAACTTAACCAGCACTTCCATTATTATTATTATTGCTATTACTATTAGTATTAATACTATTAGGAAGTAGAGATGACGATGAATGCTGGATGGAACGCATAGTTTCAGTATTCCCGTCAAGTTTTGAAATCGATGAAACTGTACGCGATCTGGTTGTCTCATCTTCACTGCTTTCGACATCCTCCTCCTCTTCCTCCTCCCCGTCATCATCTTCATCATCATTATATTCTTCATTTGGAGCATGACCTATACCAACAGCTCCATATCGATGTGAATTTGTAGGCGGGATTGATTGTTGTATTAATGAACATGGAGATCTTGAGGATAACTGCATCTGTGTACCACCATTACCACCCCCAGCGCCACCACCAGAATGCCAATTATCTGAAGATTTTTTATTTTTATTAAAATTATTTACTGTTGACATATGATGTGGTTGAGAGGTTATATGACTGAATTGGTCTGATGAACACTGTTGTTGAACAACATCTGGATGTAGGTAAGCAGAACCAATAGAAGTTGGGTTAGATGGCACGTAGGCAGACGCTGCATTTAAGTCATTACGACTATTCACTATCGATGTATTTTCACTATAAACACCTAAAATTAAAAAAGTAGTGGAAATGTGTTAACACTTAGATATTACTCAAAGAAATCAACAGTAAGAAGAACTAAAAACTGAGAAAGTAACATTACAATAAGTGGATTTTTGTTGAAATTGCAAACGAAACACGTCACTTACGTAAGTCATACTACTGTCACTCAGTAAGTCACATAAAAACTTTATTCATAAAGCCACTACCAAGAAATGTGCTATACAAAAATTTAGAAAAACAATATACGAGGAAAACAGAGATGGGATAAATGAGGAAGAGATCACACCTAGAAAAAGCAAGTAAGCATACTTATCAAAATCATTCAGCATTCATTTTACTTTCAGAAAGAGAAGTAAGAATGACAAGGTAGCGTGTTTGCCACTGATTACGATCCTTGGCTATAATCTCATACACCTATCGAGTCATCGATACGAATGATCTCTTGGATCCCAACCAAAGTGTCGTGATCCGCCGACGGATGATTATCTAACACACAGATATGCTTTATCCCACAGCCTTACAATCACAGGCGTACCACCATATCTCCGGCTTTTTCATCCACTTCCAGGGCTAGCGAACAGCGAGTGGCATGGAAGCCCACTAGGGGCAACATTCGTAGCACATGCTGAAGAGTTATCAAAGATGACGACGTCGCAGGGTAAGTGCCATGTCTACACTCACACTGTCGAACGACTGAATCACTTCCACAATGAAATATAATAAATAAGAACTTCCACGCTAATTAACATCCAATAATTTAAAAGTATAATTGTGAACAGTGTAAACATTTAATAGAAAAGCCAGAATAATAATAACATACCACTTCCATGAGCGATATGCGACAACCGTGGATCATAATCTGGCATATGACTCGGTGTATTCTGAGAACCAATAGTTGAAGATGTGACTGGAACAGTATAATTGACTGTATTATTACTACACAAACGATTTATGGCGCTTCCAACTGCATTGATATGCGTATTACTACCACTACTACTGCCACTGAAATGTGCTTCACTTTTCTCCTCTTCACGACGCTTTAAACAAGCTTGTTTTGGATTTAAATTGCGTTCTGAAAATAAATACAAAAATTTACACGATAAGATGATATTATGCACCCAGAAAATTGGTTAACTTGACTTGTTCACCTTGATAGTTTTTAAGTTTTATTTCATTATTTGCGTTCCAATTGGAACATAACACTTCAAGCTTTGAAGGATCAAAAGAGCTTGCGTTTCTTCTACGAGGTGGAGTTGATAACCTCACACCAGATATTCCTTCTCTTCCCGGCTAACTACCGGTCAGACGAGGTTTAGGAGTGAGCAGGTAGGGAATCGAACACAGACCACATGTGTGGTAGCTGGTGAGCCATATTACACACCCCCATATCTCCGACTATTTTTAGAAAGACGAACAGTTCATAATAGGCAAGGCAAATGAAATAATTAGAAAAAATACTTTAAATATAAAAATAAAGCAAACAGAAAGTGTAACATGCGCATGTAGTCACAGTACAGAATGAACAACTGACAGCAGAACAGCTTTATTACACAATAATAGCTTTAAAAAGTAACTGCATGCTATGAAGATGCTAGTGCCAACATAGATTTTGCGACTTTCCGGGAAATCCAAGACAGTCAAATTCATAAACACTCAGTTATGTGTTGCATTTCCCTTTTTTTCTACTTTAAATTCGTACTGCAAGTAAGCATATTATCTAAACGCAAACCTACAACCTTTTGAATACACTGTGGTCAAGAAGTGTGACAAAGTAACTACACAAAAACAAAAGGTATGAAGTATTGGTGGAACAAAAAAGACACTAAATGCCAACGATTTGCAATCTGTCTGGATGTGGACTGTACCGGTGTAGCCTGAAATAGCCCTCATAAACCAGTTGAAATGGCCGAGAGTGGGTAGACTATAGTCTTTCCCTTGAAACACATCTGTTAGATAAGTCCAATTCAATGTGTTCCTCACAGAAATGAAACAGCGAATACGAATTTCTGGCGATAACAACCAGACTGGTGGATATGCAGGTCTCCTTGGTGGAACCGGAGAACCCTGATTCCAAACCTATAGTGTACATTGGTTCCAGAAACAGAAAGGATTTAACTGGCATATGAACCTCTGTTTTGGTCACTGGCAATCATGCGAATGTCGCTCCTGACGTTGCTCTACTTTCCTATGGATCAGACTTTAAACCAAAGGCTCGGTGGCGAGTGACCCCTTAAGACAACTACTCGCTTCAGTTTGGGCGTTCGGGTGGCACCAGGGCTCTAGCTCAAACTACTGGGTTTTGTGTGGTGCATCTCATGGTGCCAATAATATACGAAGTTTATGTTTTAGTAAGTAATAAATAGATAACGAATCGGGGGAAAATACAAACACACCTAGTTTTCATACACTACTTTTTCTTGGTTTTCTCATCACTACGTTTTAAACAATCAAATACGAAGTAGAAAATCGACGCTGAGAAGTAATGCTTTCTCTACAATATAACTACTGCTAGGAAATTTTTAAAAAACTTCGGAGAAGGAAGCACCGAAATAGTATGCCTGACAAATGGAAATAACAGGTAAATCTGAGTTTTCTCCTCATGAAGATACAAATGTATCCCACCAATGAACCAACTACTTGGTAGATCGTTTAGTTTAATTGATATCAGTTGTCGCTGATATCACAAAATCTATTGAATGAATGGCAATACACCAAATCCAAGAACACACTACTGTAAGAACATACCTTTATTAATGCTCCACGGAATACAAACCACAGAACGTAAGATATCAAACCATACTTTAACAATGATCAGCAACAGAAGTTAGAATTCAGAGCTTTGAGCCACACACACACACACACATTGTGCGTGTGACAGCTGATGATACTATCTACCCAGTTAGTCAGGCTAATGTAGGCGTAGACAGACTCAAAGCTGAGATTGAATCACATTTCCATAATGACCAATAAGTCATCAGGCGGACATTATTTTAGAAAACTACATCAAAAAACACTAGAATTTGTACAAATATATTCCATATTAAGCATCTACTTTCTAATAAGCATTCTGTTAATAAACATCGTTTCCATGGCAATTAAAGGCTGTATGCAGTAGATCTGACCATTAAATGAATGAACTACAGTAGACCTTTCAGGTATTACAAGAAAAAAGACAATAATATTTACTAACTTACCTCGAACTTGTTGTTCCAAACTTGTGATTAATGATACAGCTTGTTGTAAAATTGTAAGTTTGGTTTGTGGTCGTTCATTATTCAAATGCATCATGCACATGCGTCCAAGCTCTTTAAATGCATCATTGATATCACGAACTCGAATACTGGATTGGATAGACACAGCAGCAATACAGATCAGATATATGCATAGAAATGATACAGGCATAGGGGGGATATGATCAAGTAGAATTTTCATTCATATTCAGTAAATTTGGAATAATATCGACGAATGATAGGAATGTAGTGAATAGTGAATGAATGATGGCATAACACATAGGTGGTGGTCCCGCAGACGAAGATAAAAAGGAAAGGGAAAGATATAAACATGCATAAGTAAAAATATAATAATGATTACATGCTAATATCAAGCATATATACATGTGTGTATTTATATACATATATAAGAAGTGTTTGAATAATATTCACTGACATATATTATATAAGCATAACCGCAAAAGATGACTACAAACAGAAATCAGTTATACGAGTATATTTTTGTTTCTAACCTCTAACTTGTTGCTCCAAACCTGTTATAACTGTAACAGCTTGTTGAAGAATCATAAGTTTTGTAAGAGGTTGACTATTCCCAGTGTGCAAATTAATCATTTGACCCAATTCTTTAAAGGCGTCATTGATCTCTCGAACTCGTAGCCTTGTTTTAATATACAATTACAGACGACAATGTGATAATTAATGAAAATAGTGGTTATATATATTCATAACCAGGGATAAGCTATTTAGCTAAGTAATTCTTGAAAGATAAAAATTCTTCTACTAAACAGAATAAACAGTAAAAACGCCAACTACTACTTATATACACTACTTTAAATACGTGTACACAGAAAAATTATTCTACTTAGATTTTTCTGATAACATTCCTTGGCGAGGATCGTAATTAACTGTTGTTTGAACCAATTTCCGTGATCAGATCTTTTGTATACCAGTCTATGAGAATGAGGGTTGATGATGCGACCTAGGCTGAACTGGGGGAGATCCAAACGAGCAACCCACTATGATTGGAATTCAAGTGCTTAAACCCATGAGTCAATAAACCAATATGTTAAGCGATTACTTAGTAGTTAAAAATCGAATATTGAATTCACAGAATATGAGGAAACTAATCAAACGTTACTTCGTTTACACAGACACAAACACGCGATTAAGAAAATGAATATAGGGAAAGAATGAGACATTAGAAATACTGCAATTTAGTAAGCATATATGAGCTTAAATATTAGCAGCATGGTCTATAAGGACATGCTTACCGTTCTCGTGCATTATTCGCTTGTCTACGACTACGTTCTCGTTCGGCCCTTTGTTCAGGTGTTTCATCTGGATCAATTGTCTCCTCTGAATCTGTACCACACAGACTAGGTGTCCGACCATGACCATAATTTCTGCCATTATCAAAATCACCGAATAGTGACGAACATTCTGAACTAACACCAGTAGTAGTGGATAACTGACAAGCATTGGATGATGTCAAAACCATATCGCTTGTGTTTGCTTCCATGGGGTTAACATTTGCTTCCAAATTAAGAGGATTAGTAGAATTGACTGTGGATCCGCGACGCTTTTGTCCAGCTACACGACGACCTTTACCTCCCCGACCACCGGCACCACCATGAGGTGCAGAGGTACTAGCAGACATGGATGGTGTAGAGGAATGCGTTAAACCCATACTAGACGAGTGAGCGGTGAAACTCAGTTCTTCTGCCGTAGATCCTATAATACCAAGCAAAAACAACAACAAAAAATAGGATGAGAAAGAAAGCAAACGCAGCCTCGAGGATTTAGGGCATTATTGTACTGAATGGTTGCATAATATCCTCAAGGAAATCTCAGAAGGCAATACAGGTGAAGACATCCCACCAAATTTTGCCTTTTTTCTTAGTCGGAAGTCAGAGCACAAGTCATGCACACAATTCATGTAGAACTACACAAAGTGAATTGCTCGAAAATATGACGATTTAAATGAGATCCTACTAGATAAATAAAGGACTATTTGACTCGGATTCATACTCTATACAGGCATATTCACTTGCAGTATCCTTGATCTGGAAATAAGCGATTCTCTATACAATCAACACTATATTAGAACACTTTATTGCCGCAAAGTTATAGAAATACAAGAGGCAATTATCCGGGTAAACTACTATAGTGTCAATCAAAATATAACTGTATCTTTGCCTGACAGATTAACACAGTCAACAACCAGGTGACAACTGACTGACTGGGTTTTCATTTGTATACCTTTACATAAAAGTGCAGCACTCCGTGTAGCACACACAAGTAGAGTGAAAAAAAACTTAAAAGGAACTATAATGAACGGAAATGTACAAGAGTAAGAAAATAAGTACACGGAGAAATAATGAGAATTTGATGGACCAAGATCTTCATAGAGAGCGAATATATCCACGCGATTGAAAACGATTTTCAGCCATGTCACTTGTTGTTTGGTTCAGGCTGAGCTATGGTGTAGAAACAGTAGACCCAATGAGTAGGACTCAAATTATATAACCTAAGGGACCCTGAGTTCAAGCCCTTTAGCGATATAGTTTTCTGTCCTATTTCGCACACTTAATATTCCCTTAGTCCTCTATAAATCCTAAGAACTAATATACAAACTTTTCAAGTTACCAGTCATTTCATTGTGGTAAATTATCACATATTTTTACATCATTCAACAGTCGCAATATTAGAGGGATATACACTTAAATTCGAATTCTGAACAATAACGAATGAGTATTGATTGTTAGCTTAAATGTGAATTAAAATAAGGAAAGTGATGACGGTGAATAAGTAGAAAATGCAATGAAATGATTACGAGGTGCATACCTGCCAACGCCATCATTGTTTCAAGATTGCAACCCATCATGTCAGTTGGATAATTGCTATTGGTGTTATTGTTACCATTATTATTATTATTATTAGGAGTAGCATTCTAAAAAAAGAAGAGGAAAATAGACCGATAGATTTAACGACAACCTTACAATAAATCCAAAAATATACGATAATAACTTGTAATTATCAAGGCTTAACACGGTTATGATAACTAATAATATAAGGTAGGGAAGAAAACAGTTTTTAGTTTTGAAGAGAATCCCCAGCATATATTCAGAACAACATAGAGAGCATTTCTGTATTGCATTTATAATTCAATTGGTCACAATAGTACAAATCACTTTCATAACTTCTTTTTCAACGTTGATTCCAACCATCAGAAAAAGAAAACAGACTGTGTGTGTGAGACCAGCTTCAAGCAATTGTCCGTTGGATTATGCAGTCACGCAATACTAACACTCCTTACATTTCAGATACGTTAAGAAATCAACTTCGACAATGCGGATAGCTAGCTGGATAGTAATAACCGCCCGCATACTTCCATGAAATGTGCATAAGTAATTATCTGTATTTAACTTTATCCATAAAATATCACACATGGATTCCTAGGAGACGGTGGGGTTAGGTGGCTGAGACAGTCCACTTACAGTCGTCAATGGGTTACGGGTTCAAATCTCGGGTGGTAGTATTATAGCCCATACACAATAAGCGAGGCTTACAACTTCGTTATTATTGTAAATATAAAAGCTATATACTTAACATTTTCATCCTCATCTTGTATCTTTACACGGATGGACGACACCTCATTAAGTTTACTTAGCGATTGAAGGAACAGTGTAAAAAAGCCAACTATATCCCCTAATATGTATGAATTCGAATCGAAATCGACTTTATCTACTATACCCGAATGTCAAGAGTGTGCTGCTTAAATAATGTGATCAGAGAAAACCAAAATTATAGTTTCATTGTGAAAAGAACCGTTGATAAACGAGGTAATATAGTAACAGGCGTATAAAAGTGTCTGTCGAAATCCTACAATTATAGACATACACCCACCCACACACACACACAAATGAGTCATAGAAATCAAATATGCGAATTTTTCATCCCTAATTAGCATTTGGCTCGTTGTCAAGGTGTGATACCAAAGAAGAAACAACAACAACAAAAAAAAAAAACATGATCCAAAACATCATGATTATGATCCATAACAAAGGGGATCATATATTATGTATGTATGTATAAAATCAGATCCATAGTCGATTTAATTAGTTAATTAACGAATTTATGCATGCAAGCGCTATGTAGTAATGTGTACGTTAATGTGGATTACAAACCACCACCACCACCACCACAACAACAACAACAACGACAACCATAATAACATACATGTGTATTCAAATTTGCAAGTGAACGTTGTTCATACACGCCTGAAGGAATAAGACCAGATGGTGGATTGACATCAGACGATTGGTGAATTGTAAATTCTCCCATAGTATATGATGGATTTGATTCTGATGGATGAGCTATAAAAAAAAAAAACATATTCCATAAAATAGTCATTATAAATGCAGATTATTTATACTCTCTGATCCCTTTTGCATGGATCCATTATTCACTATTGGAATTAGGAAAATAACCTTTACCAAAAAAACTCTACATCATAATGACGAAAAACAATAGACGATAGACAGAATTGATTTACATTATAGAATATATAACTGCTCGAAAAATGCCTAGGTGAAAACTTTAAACCCTTAAACCTAATTTATTTTTTTGTATTTTTTTATTGTAGTATTTTTGATACAAGTATGGAATTTTCAGCATGTGATATCGATAGCCCAGATTTAGCAGGTCGACCATTGGTATCAGGTGTGTGTCGGCCAGGAATAGAACCCCAGACCATGTGCATGGTCGGCGAGCGTCCTAACCGCTATGCCACCGACGCACACGAAAAACTAATTAGTGAATCGTATTCAAAATTTGAGCTGAACTGAATTTTCAAAGTTGAACTCTAAGTACAAGTTGAAATTGCCACACTTCATAAAGATAGGTTTAAAAAAGGCCATGAAAGAAAGAATAATTACGTGGAGAACAACGAGAACTTAGTGGATCTGGGAGATGGAATGTTTTTGAGTCATGCCTACAAATAATCCCTAGTCATTGATTTTTCAGAACCTCAACAACTCCCTACACGTTGCTCAAACCAACAGTCAAAAACTCCGTGGGCTGGTTGCCCTGTTTCAGTGAACAAACATAAAGAGATTCTTTCTTTTAAAGATCGAAAATACACTTTAGACTCTCCTGTAAGTAAAGTAGTGGAAAAGGGACAACAAAGAGATTATATTCCCATCAATAGTCTCAAGTAGGTATTCTAGCTTCTTCGTCTTCTTCTCCTTTCGTTTCCTTCCTAGGCAGGCATAGTAAGTACTATACTGCATATGAAGACATCATAGTAGTAGGGGTATGATGATAAGGTAAGACAACTTCTGAAAGAAGAGTCATTCAATATTGTTATTGAATTGATTTTAATTATTGACAGAAATAACTGCTAAGTAATTTATCTTGACCTGAATTCTGACCCACGGAGATTGTTACACTTATTTATAATCAATGAAAACCTTTCCCCATGTTTACACACACACATAAACACACACGAATAAAGTAAGGATATCTCACCAAATAATTTCTGAAAAAATAAATAAAGCAGAAGAAATACTCGTATACACATATATATACTCCTCAAGCAGTTAAACTTAAACAAAACAACGCTACAAATTAAATGCTGATAATCTAAGAAGCATCAAACACAGATTCACTTTACCCAATGGAAATTAATTCGAAAAATATTTTTTTTTAAAGTTCAATAACAGTTGAAAACGAATTTGTAACGTTTTAAATGAACGAAATGATGAAAAGGAGACTGTCTGATTGCATTATACTTCAAAAATACAATACAATATACTCATAACAAAGCGTCAGCTATGATGTCTCTTTCTATACAAAAAAATAAGCACCACAATACATTGAAACACAAACACAAAGTTGTCAGTCTATTTTGAAAGTGAAAGCCAAGTTGAACAATTAATATATGTGTAAAACTTGGGCACTGTGGCAGTAAGTAATTCCATATTAGTTTGTTTATTAGATATATCACACAGTGAGGAAACAGTATTATTTACTGGATGACGTTTCGAACAAAATTTATTGTTCCCAATCATATCAATTGTAATCACACGACTTTGACACTTGAGTTTTATAGTTTTCTTTGTTTTCTCTTATTTGTCGTATGGGTAGTAGAATTTTCCAGATATCGGGGACAGGTGATGAATCATTCCTATTACATGTATTTGTAGTTGATTCAATAAACAAAGCTTCTGTTATCAATCTCTCCCTATACCCTGTGACATTAGATTTTAAAACTGTCATCCTATCCCATCCTATTGTATGGTTGTGTGTGACTGCATCTAGTGCTATAGCTGAACTATTCTCTAGATTTCTTATCTTATTCGGGTCAACCAATCTAGATTTTGCTAAGTTTTTATGTTCAGCTAGTCTGACTGCCCCTGTTCTACTAGTTTGACCTACGTATTTGACCTGACAATCATTGCAGATAGGGTATTAGATAAACTAAATTGGTTTGTTTTAAAGGCTTTACAGGATCCTTTAACCGACAAAACTTGTTTCTAATTGAGTTTGTGGGTTTGAATGCCATTTTTATTCCTGCCTTGTTAAGAATTCTGCGTAAGGTTCCCGAGCTTCCTTCCTTGTATGGAATTACTACTGATGATTTAGATTCCTTATTGTTGGTGTCGTCATTAATATTATTATTATTATCACTATTATTATTATCGTTATTATTGTTATTATCACTATCGCTACTATCATTATTTATTTTATTTTTACATTTCCTTATATATTTCCTAACTAATTTATCCGGGTAATTATTAAGCTTCAAAACTTCTTTTATGTGTATCAGTTCCTGTTTTACATTTTCTTTGGTACTCTTAGTTTTTGTGCTCTATCATTTAAACATTTCACCAATCCTATTTTTACTGACATAGAATGGGATCATCGGAAGTCTAAATATCTGTTTGAGTGTGTGGGTTGAACAATAACAATAATAGGATGTCTGATTAACATTATAACTTACCAGTCTGAGGCATATTGCATGGATGTTGTTGTTGTTCCGGCAATCCAATCAAAGAACCTGATCGTAACGCAGATGGTGCACCATACAAACTACCCGCACCAGAATAATTCATTGCCTATCAAGAAGATATGGAAAAATAATATTAGAATTAGAATAAAATGCAACAACAAATATAGCATTTGAAATAAGGACTAGTGTCCAAAACATCAATACATTATTTGCTACAGTTGAAAGAGAATCAAAGTAATCCATTCACACACTGGAACCAGAGCTACCTTTAAATTATGTTTAAGGTTGAAAGATGAACATATCACAGAATAAATAGTGTAAATTAGTTGAAGTACCAATTCTATCGTCTTTAACAGGTTATTACGCACAGATGTCATTACCCTTCATAGCTTAGAGTTTACTTAGAACCAGAAGAAGATGAATACTAAATTGTCCAAATATTTCAATTACCAAAGGGATGCACATACTGAAGAAAGGCTCACCACCAAAGGCTCTTAACCAACGATTTACGAGAAATAGAAATTAACAATAGTCGATTCAAATACTTGATGCAAAACATCGTATTTCCGGGAGAGAAAAACAAATTGTTTCAAGAAAATTGAGAAGAATGAGTGTTTCATAGCCTATATACAGCTGGCTGGCTGGATTCAACATAGAACTTGGCACTGAAGTGCAGTGGTTCGAGCTGCCACGTTCAAAATAGCACACAAAGGTAGACAAGAAAATGAGTGAAGAGAATCAATAGAGTTTTGACAAGTATAAGAGTGAAAGAGTGAGTAATGGTAGAAAGGAATATGAAAGATTATAGAGACTGAATACATCTGCATAAGCCATTGACAACGATTTTGAGCCATATCACCTATTGTCTCCAGCCATTGATTCTTAGAGTTCCGAGGGCGGGCCCCAACCCGGAAGTCTGCATCTCCCTACCTGACTCAGTTTAACTGTCAAGGATTTCATGGATTGATGTCTATATACAGAATCATAAAGTAAATGGATCCCAAGTAACGCTGAGCATGAAAGCGTATTAATTTGGGTCAACATGTGTATCATAGGAGAACAAAGAGAATGAGAGAAGACACAAGTAAATTCATCTATTATAGTGTCAACAATTTCGAAGATATGGAATGTTAAACAAATCTAAGCGATTGTAAACTGTTGGTTCTTAAAATCTTGAGAAAATCAGTAAAAAGAAGTATCTTGAGACGACTCTTCTTACTTTTTTGTAAATCTACTTCCACCTAACCTTAAAATAATTCATGAAGATGGAGATGCCTCCGCAAAGTCAAGACTTATCTCTGAGGGCATAGTCGATACACATTCACCCACTGTGATCCCATTACACACAAGCAACTCAATACAATTATATTTTACCAGAAACGTATAGCTTCCTAAGTTCTTAAATCTTAACAGCTTTATTTTATCCGTGAGGCATGTCAGACGGTAGGATACTCTGTCAATGGCAGAACGACACTTATTTAATGAAGACGACACTGTATCCTGAGAACTAATGCAATTTTCGGTAAAATTACGTTCTTATCCCTAAACAAAGAGTTGATACCGACTGATGCGAAATGTCATCCATAAAATAAAACGCATAACGATTGGTTAAGATATACGAAAAAACACTATAATTTCGTCAAAATCTTTGCTAAACACAGCAATATTGTCTTTGAATTCGTGGCTAAACAGATTCTTTACACGCAGTACGTCAATTCCTGAATAGTTAGAAAAACACACACGCACACGATGATCTTTACCAGTATATTCATGGGAATAATAGGGGAGTTAGTGAGGATATACAACTATAGGGAAAATTACTATTCGTGGTCCGTTTAAACATCAATAATCCAGTCGGAAAGCCTTGATATGGCTTTACTTCTACTCCTACTACAGCAGTGTGGAAAACACATCTTCCTAGAATGACTGTTTTTAAAAATCATGGTGCTTTAGGAAAAACACTCAGGCATCCTGCAAGTTAATATAAAGAGATACATAAAATTAAATGAAGTCATCAACAAAAAGATTATCATATTTACATGTGTTAAATGATTGCTACTATTATCAGGATGAATAGATGAATTAGGATTGGGATAAACTGAAACAGAAGTCAATTCTGATGTTAAATGACAAGCAGAATTGTCATGTGAAGGAAAATTCGATGTATGCGCTGTCCCAGTTACACAGCTTGGATTAATCACATTCGTTGCACTCGACCAAACACCACCACCACCACCTTGAACTGTATTGCCGCAGCCGCCGCCACCACCAACACCGTTACAGGCTGTTGTATCTGTAAATACAACAAAAGAAGGAGGGAAACAAAGCGTATTATTCAACAATTATTATTATTGGGGAGTAAAAAGCAGAAAAACAATCAAAGGCGACTACTATCATGATGCAAATTGTGCACCATTAATTTAAATTTGCACAGAAGACACCTGATCTCACATATCACTACATATACACACACAAAAGACTATCTATCAAACAGGGAATTCAAATCTACTTGTAGCAAAAAGATAGGAAAAGACTTCTATGATGAAAAGAAAAGAGAAGCCAGTCAGCCATCAAGCATTGCATTACTGAGGACAAAAACGGGGGCTGGGAAAGAAACAAGACCTGATTTTAAGAAACGCTAAGATTAAAATATCAACTAGGAAAGTAAGAAAGACAAGCAAATTAATGAGAATTGTAAGCATGAATTAATATTATTAGGTAAACTTTGTGTTAGAAATGAAAATGAGAATGAAAGAAAACCTGCCTCAAGGCTAAATCCATTGCAAACAAACACACACACACACACGCTTGTCTTGTTTAAGTGAATCAGCGCGCATAGTAAAAGTAAAACAAATAATAATAATCATACTAAATAGCTACAAACCCACGTACTATGCGACCCCAAGGGACACAGCAGCGCGCACCCACAAAAAACAAGAGAGAAGACAAAAAAGAGATAAAAAAGAATCAACCCCTAAATAGAAAACACATGCAGTAAAAGAAGAAGAGAAAAACACAGATGTATTCACACTACTACAGTTAATAAGAAAGCAAAAATATCTATTCATCATCATCAACAGGGGGGCAGGAGCAGGAGCAGGGGGTGGGGGGAGCGGAAGAAGTACAAGCAAATAGAAACTAGGAGGAAAGTAAACATTCTATGCAGTAAAAACACGTACAAGGGATAAAATTGACAAAATGCAGGGTGGGGAGATGAAGATTGAAGAAATAATCATATACATCTCTACACACTGATGTTTTCTCTCTACAAGACATGTCGATACAACATAGGCTATATAGAATGAAAAGAAAATTATTTTTAGGGATTGGTCAAGAATTTCTATGCAGAAAAGTTATAAGAAATTCAATGTGTTATAATGTAGTTGCTATATTTTTTTTCAATTTCTAGTCAAAACAAATAATAAAGGAAATAAATGAATGCGTATCACTTCATCATCCTCTTAAGATGATAATATAATATCATACTTGGAACTGTGAAAGCAATTACAGAAATCAAATAATATACAAAAATAAAGTATACCCCCTAGAAGAGTTCATATGTATCTTAATTCTATTTATTCAAAATTATTTTTATTATTACTATAAAATCACAATATAGCTTGAAGTTATAATTCAGAGGTCAAATCAAAGGCAACAACTGTATTATTCAATAACAGTGATGTATGTAGGTACGCCTGACACGCATAAACACAAGCAACTTTTGTCTCCATCGGATGAAACATACGCCCACGCTTTAGATCACCATTGATGAGTAGTAAGAACTATTGATTCGTATTATAGGTTTCGACTTATTTAGTTGCTGTTATGTTTAGAATTTTTTCTGCTCTTTATAACGTCAAACAGATAATCTATTGTAATCTGGATAATTCTCCTAGTGAAAGGATATCACACTCCGGGATGTAACTAAAACGGGCGCACTCTAGGAAGAGATCTTATATTCTGAGCTTCATTTTCATGTTCTCATTATAGGGATTCTATACTTAATATAGATATAGATATGAGTAGCAAGCAATGCAAATGTACACTAATCAAACCTAATCTGAAAATGGAGATCCTGTCAATCAATCCTAAGATGGGCTCAAGATAATCTTTCTAGTAACATTCATAAATTGAAAACATTGATATCCGTTGATTGTTAGCACGAAAACAAAAAGCACAATCGACTCACCCATTCCATAGTAAGGATCAAAAATCGTCGATGAGACACCAATGGAATCATTCGGGGGTGGATAATGTAAAGATTTCAATTCACGATTGGTTGTATCATCGCCGCCACCACCAACACCACCACCACCACCAATAATTGAAGCTTCAATTCCACGACGTGTATCAATATCATCATTTCCACACAAAGATGACATACATGATCCAGTATTACCAACTGGAGCATTTAAATTAGTATAAACGACGCATGGATCATGATCATCACGTAAGTGGTCTGCTGTTCTAATCATTGACTCCATGTCAGATCGACTTCTTGATAATGATGATGGTATTGTTGGACAATTGTAGTTACTTCCGGTAAGAAGACTAGGAGGAGGTGTTGTATGCGTGGATAATCGAGGACATATATTTGTTTCATTGACAGTGGAATTATTCGAGTCTTTAATACCGAGCATTGAGTCATAAAGCTGTGATAAACGAAGAAAAATGTGGGGAAAAAATCATTAAAGCACAGTTAATGAGAGAGGGAGAGAGTAATATGCACAGAACAGTAAACAAGTGATTATACAATAATGTGAAGAAAAGTGTAGCTATTGCTACCCTTTTGCACACTTTCAAAAGCTTCAAATTTTGAATTAATAACAGCTGAGTTGGAGAAGTAAACGTAACTAAATATAGGCAATATGTGGGAAGAGATTCAATGACGAAAGAGGCATATAAAATATATTTGACTGAGTCCCACTTCAATGAACTCAAGAGTCCTTAGAGTATGCTACGCCAGAAGCAGTGGAAAGCTAGTCGAATACAACCACTATTTATTTTGTCTACCTCAATCAAAGACAGAAATGCTTCTGTAGTGTCATTGCATTCTCTCAGTGAGAAGTAAATAGGTGTCACCAAATTAACACCATCTCCTCTAGGCCTGTTGAGTTAATCTCAAACGTCAGCGTATACCACCATAATTTAAGTAACGCATACTGTCGAGGTTCGACTGCCCGCTGACGCACTCCTGAACGCCGCCCAGTTTACTAGGAGCAGGTAATAAATCTGGAAAACAAAGATATTTGGGTGTGAAGCTAGCGACCCCGCACAAGCCGCTACTGAAAGTTTACAGCTGGAAGTTCTGTTACACTCAGAACGCGAAGAAATGAGAGGGAAACTAATTAGTGGCATTAAGATACTTACAAATGAATAAATCCCCCTTTCTATTAATTATCACTAGATTACATTTCATCACTTAAGTAGAACCTGAACGAGAAACGAGTTGGGTGTAGATCCGTGTATGATATAGAGGAGATCGTGTGAGGGGGGTGGACGAGAGCCGATGGGCAATCGTGCGGCCAACTGGAGAGAGCTACAGAGAACAAAGCAAAGTGGAGATGTGCTGTTGAAGCCCTATGTTCCACTCGGAACCCAAAAGAATAATAAAACATTTTGTCACTATAATAAAGCATAAGTAAAATGAACTGACAACGTAAATATAGTTTGGTTTCAGAAAGGTCTCACAACATTACCGCAAAACCGACACAACTACCCCAAATTCATACATGATTATGTAACCTGTCTGATGAATACTGACTAGCGACTTATTCATAAGGAAGCTGACCACAAGATATAAAACCCCTTTTCTTTCATCAAAATTGTAACGGAAAATTACCACCGACAATATGAAACAAAATTTCTAAAAGAAAAGCTTCACCATCACCACCATATGAGAAAAACACAGAAGAGACAAATAATTATGTGAATTGATCTGCATACAGAGGCTCAGTCCGAATTAAACTAGAAAAACGCAAAGGAAGTAAACACAATCCGCATTTGCTATTGCCGTTGTCATCAATGTAGCAGTAGTAGTAGGTAGTACAAGAATCAAACGAAACAAGTGTACAGGACAGTAGCAGTAGTAGTAGCAAGAGACAGAAAAATGCACTTGCAAAATACAATTATTACCTGATAATATTGTAAAAGACAAAAATTTGACCTATAAAGCAGACGTGGTTTGGTTTGTATTTTATCGACTAATAATCATAATTATAATAAAAATAAATGAGGATGTCGATGTAAACGACGATAGCGCTGTTGATAATGATAATAATAATAATACTAGTTATAATATTTATTGATGAAGATGAATGTAGTTGAGTGAATAGGGGAATATAAGTGATTAAAATAGAGTAAAATTCATTTAGATATGACAGAGAGATAATATACACCTACCTACCTATCTACCAGCACCACCACCCTTCCACACAAACATACACACACACGCATACATACGACTAGACAGATATAGATACAGGGAATATGCAAATGCAACATGACTCGATATTTCCAAATCAATACAAGCGATGAAAACTAAACAATTAAACGAACAAACGAGACACAAAGACTGGTTCCCCACCCCCCAGAAAAAATACACAGCAGAAGAAACCGAATAATATGAGTGCGCGCACACACACATACACACAAACGAAGGAACAAACAAGCACAGAAATTAGCTAACAAATATACATATATTAAATTAAATTCCTAGAAATAGTCAGGTAGTAGTAGTAGGAGTAGAAGAAGGGAAAAAATCAGAGGCACAGATGTGCAAATCATTATTTTTATGTAGTTTTCTTTTGCTTTTTGCTTACCTATTTGTGCATCAAGTAAAAATCGTAGTTACAGTCTTTGTGGATGTGCACGTACGCGGAGGTTACACACGCTCTCCACTTCATCTGCTCCACCTCACCACACCCACACCCACCCATCTCTTCGAGGAAACGGAATATTTTCCCTCAGCGCCGAAATAAACAAGTATTGAAGGTAGTATATATATATATATATATATATATATATATATATATATATGTAATATATTCGCAGTAAAAGGAGGGAGGGAAAGACAAAGACGGAGACAGATATAGAGAGAGAGAGCTGTAAGAGATATTATAGCCTGGGAAATTTTTCCTTTACAGCACATATAATCATCACATTAACCTACTAACTGATTCCCTACAGCTGTACACACAAGAAGACGAAGAGGAGGGAAATTACTAGTCAGTATCTGCTTTATTCTCTCTCTCCGTTTTTCTTCTATATTTTATCGGTACAATGTATATCTCTATGCATATACCTAATAGGGTAGGCGTTTTTTTCCTTGAATGAAATAAAGACAGAGAAGTGGAGGAAGACGAGGACGAAAAAAAGTTGCCTTCAACATTCACATAGAGAAAAAAAGCCAAGCAAAGGTTTTTAAAAAGAGAATGACAAATCAGTAAATTAGGTCAAAATATCTGCCTTTATTTATGTCTTCATCTATCATCATCATCATCATCATCATAATCATCAAAATAGATAAAAATATATGATAGGCCTAATTTTTGCACAATTATACCCAATAATGGTCAATTTTGTAAAATATCTAAGATAATTTCTTTCTTCATAAATGAGAAATTTTTTCTTGAAATACAAATTTCTGTGCTAGAAGGTAAAAGAGAATATGAGACAGTCGTTAATTTTTAAAGTACAAATATCTTCAGCTATTCTAACTGCCCACTTACTCTACAAGAAAACACGAAAAGATGTTACCGCTAGTTGTTGTTGTTGTTGCTGTTTGCATCGTGACTAAATCAACTAAATCTACACAGATTTCGAGGTGAATAGTGATCACTAACACTTTTCCTTTGGAAACTGAAACTATTTAGAACGCAATACATGTGATCCGCTTGATATCATAAATGCGGTAACCAAGAAAGTAAGTATCACTGCATGAATGATTGAGATGAGTACTTGTATACGAATGAGAATCAACCAGTGTAGTGGCTGCTGGCCAGATCAAAGTGATCTAAACATTGTAAGGTCGTTTCACTCGTTCGGATAGAAGCTCATCACCAGTGTACCCAGTGTGACTCAGCCCAGAGAGTGTCGAATCATTAATTCGCAGTTTCGCAATCAATACAGTTTGAGGTGAAAAGTACTCACTACAGTTTTCTTTGTAAACCGAAATTATTCAGATCAAAATACATGTGATCCTGCTTCATACCATAAATGGTAATTAAGAAAACAAGTGTTCATGACTGCGAATATAACTATGTCGATGAATCAAATGTCGTCAAGATAGCGGTTAAAAGAGTATTACTGAAAGTTAATCGAAGTACTCCTTTGAAATCAGAATAATTAACGCTAGTGTGATTTTTCCTAAGCTTATTACCTAATCACCACTTAGAGAATCAAATATGTCACCCTAGAAAGTTACATATCATTAATATATTTCAAGTAAATTGTTTGGCCTGGAATACATTTCAACTGACGATTGTGTCCCATCACTACCAATAAAATCGAACTATCCATTACTACAACCTCAAATTGCTAATGCTAACGTCATCAACTATTAGAACATAACTAGAACAGAGTGTATATATGCAGTAGGTCGAATACAATGTTGACTACCAATCAAGTTCTACAAGCAAGACATACTCTCACATCTGGAATACAAAGTACGGGTAAAAGTGATTATTTCACTAATACTACCAAATGTAATCAATTACACATAATACATAACCAAATTTGAGATGCAATAATGTGAATCAGGTTGCTGTATATATGTATATATATATATATATACTACTACTACTCTGTTTTTAGACATATATTAGTTAGATTGGATGGAGGGTTTCATCATGAGCTGACACCAGTTAGAGAACCATCGGAAAACCTGGAACTACTGGACAGCCAGCTGTTTTGTTTTAGTTTTGGACTCTTTATCAGTACGCACCCACAGGGGCTCGAACCCAGCATCTTCTGGTTACAAGGCGAGCTCGTAGCCCATTGAGCCACTGGGACCCGATCCAATGGCTAGCCCATGAATTCTAACTTCTGCCATGTCACGACATAGCGCGACCATTTCGCAATGTCTTCTTCGATGAGTTACTGCCTCATCTTCAACCTGCTGTACCCTACTGGCCACGGCTTCCCACTAGAACACCCAGGTCACTGCTTGAATAGGGCCAGTCACTAGTGAGCATCGGATTAATTTTCAAGTATTGGTTTTGTAGGGATTTTGTTTAATTGGATGGAGGATTTCATCATGTGCTAAAATCAGTTAATAAACAATTTTCCTGAAAAAACATTGTTTTGTTGATATTACTTCCATTTATCATCTAAGATATAACTTAATAAACCAACTCTTCACACTACGGACAATTTGAATGCCACAATATGCCCATCATCTGATGATTAGATAAGCAACAAAGAACTCTGGCAGGTAACACACCAACCAATAACCTATTGATCCAACAAATATTCATATGAAAATATAAATGAATTGGATATACACAACGAGGAGGAAAAAGTCAAATAACATTGTGCGAAAAGCCTTCATCAACTGGGACCCGAATAGAAAACAACAAGTTGGGCGTTCAATAGTGACCTAGATGATATCATGCAATGTGGGGAAATGAAAGCTTGTAGAGACAATTAAAAA